ACCTGTTTTTCTTCGTCGTGGCCTCTGTGCATCACACATATGGGTAGATTAACAAGCTTACCATTATTGGAGGAGGGGAGGTGTCCTCAACGAAGAACAGATGAAAGAACAGCCCTGCCAAAGGAGCAGTCTTGCCTAGCACGAACATCTAGGCGATAATGCTTAGCGAAAGTGCAAGGAGTTGCCCAAGTAGCTGCTCTGCATACGTCATCAACTGGGACTCCCGACGCAAAAGCAGAGGATGTAGCGTCAGCCCTAGTCGAGTGGCCTCGAGGAACTGTAGGTAAGTCAATACTAGCCAGCTGATAAGACAGGGTAATTGTATGGACTATCCACTTGGAAAGCCTCTGAGGAGTGACCGGATCGCCTTGATCTCGGGTGCAGTATTTGACGAAGAGTTTGAGCGTCGAATAGACTCAGTCCTTGATCTAGGCTAGGCAGCGCCGAACGTCAAGTGAGTGCAACGATCTTTCTAACGGAGTCGTCAGGGACAGAAAAAAGGCAGGTAAGACAATGTCTTGTCCCATATGAAAAGAGGTGGCTACCTTAGGAAGAAAAGATGGATCTAATCGCAAAACAATTTTTTCTCTGTGAAAATTCAGGTAACGAGGATCTATGCGGAGAGCGCATAGTTCAATAGCCCTTTGAGCTGAAGTAACCGCCACAAGAAATGCTTCCAGGAAATAAGGCGTAAATCGACTGTTGCTAAGGATTCGAAGGGAGCTCTCGTAAGGGCTTGTAAGACTACAGAGAGACTCCAGGTAGGCATCAGTGGTCTGACTGAAGGGTTAAGATTATGAATGATGGACAATACCCACCGATCAGATGTGATGGACTCCCAAATGGGGAGTCGGCCTTTCACCTGGTCCCCAGATGAGGGGGGGTGGGTATAAAAGGAATTACAGGAGCGGCTCGCCCGTCCCGTCAGCGCTGTCTCCCATCTCCGTCGAAACGACGACGGCCCTGCTGGTACCGTTGTGGAGGCTGTTGATGGCGGCATTGCTGTTGCTGCTGCCGGTGTTGAGGCTGCTGTCAAGGCTGGTATGATTGCCTATAAGATGGACGGGTCCATGACCACTTACGCCTGGTCTGGGTCTGTAACTCCATCCTCTGTGCCGACATGCAAGACTCATGGAGTTTCTTTAGCTTGTGGTTGGTCCTTGAGTGGAAAAATCCGGACCTGTTGAAGGGCATTTCCTCTATTCGCCTCTTCATCTCCTCCGGGAAGTTACAGCTCCGTAACCAGACATGCCTCCGGAGGGAGACGGCACCGACCAAGGCCCTCGAGTCTGTGTCCACATGATGTCAGGCAGTGGATAACTGCTGGACGGCAACTTGCAGCGCCTCCTTGACGAAAACCTTAGCCAGTCACCCTGGTGGTCCAGGAGGGCTGAGATGATGTTATGGAGGTGCTGCATAATGAAGTATTGATGCCTCGCAAGTGTCGCCTCGTAATTGGAAATTCTCAGCCCTAGGCCAGAGGCAGCATACACTCGTCTGGCCAGGGAGTCGATCTTCTGTCCCTCCTTGTCCCTAGGTGCGGTGTGACCTCTTGCCTCTCTGCCCTGGGAGGACTCCACCACCACCGAGTTCGGTTTGGGGTAGCGGAGGAGGAAGGGTATGTCCTCCTCCTGAACTCGGTATATGGATTCGTACCTCCACGAAGTCGGTTGAGGGTAAGCGGGCAAGTCCCAGGGTTGCATCATCGCCTGTTGCAAGGTGGTGATCGGCGGCAGGACGATCAATGTAGATTGTTCCCCGCGGACATCATAAAACTTATCCATACTCGGTCCCAGACGCTGGACGGTGTCGATCTCAAGCAACTGGACAAGGCGGGACATCAACTCCACGAAGGAGACGTGCAATTCATCCAGTGACGCAGGGCCCCGGGAGGTCACAGCGACGTCTGGGGAGGTAGAATCGACCTCCGAGTCGTCGGAAGCAGCACCATAGTACAAGGGAGCCGATGAAGAGGACTCAGCCGGAGAGAAGGACCGGCTACTCTCATCCCAAGGAGGTATCGGGGACACATGCCTCGGGCCCGAGGACAGCGGACAGTCGTGAGGAGGTGAAGATCGACCCCTGCGACCAGGGTAGTATCCAACGGAATGCGGATCGCCCCAGGCCTGGTAGTAGGGTCGGTACCATCCTTCGGAACGGTGTTCCACGGAGCGACTCCTCCAGCTCCTAGGCGGGGACATTTCAACATCCGCCTCCAATGTGGCTGCGGGCATAGGTGTGGGAGACCTAGCCCTAGGGGGAGAATCTTGAATCTCCCCCTCAGAAATTGAGTTGGGAGAGGCTCCGCTGGAAGGTCAGCCACACGGCAAGAGGACCCTGGAGGGGTAACCCTCATAGCCGCCTGAAGGATCGGGTCAGTGACTACCATCGGTACCGAGGGGGCTGTCAAACCCGAGTCATGATGCCTGGGACGCTCCAGATCCTTAGATTTCTTCGACGGCTTCAGAGCCTTCTCCTTCCTGGCCTTCTTGTGGCCTGCCAATTTGTCGGTATCGGCATGCTTGCATTTCTCATGCTTCTTCTTCAGAGAAGCAGGCCGAGCGCCCATGGTAGACGTGCCTTCGTCCAAAGGGTGTGAAGGTGGAGGAACAGTGGAAGAGCCAAGCTTCGGAGCGGTGACTAGTGGGTCAGACTGCAGAAGAGCTCGATCCCACAAAAGCCTTCGTAGGTGGTTCTCACGATTTTTCCTGGCCTGCTTAGAGAAGGCCGGGCAGTGAGAACACTTATCGGTCCCTATGCCCTTCCCCCAGGCAGAGGAGGCATAGGTCATGCGGGTCTGCAGGAGACATCTTAGACCCGCATTCCGCACACTTGCGGAAAGCCGCTCGCTGCGCCATCGTAAGAAAAGGAAAAAAGGAGAAGACTGTGCAGAGGGTAAGAATATATTTTTGTTTTTTGTTTTTTATAGAAGATTGAAAGAGAGTTAGAACGATAGAAAAAACAGAACTATCAAGAGGAACAAGAATTTCTACAAGAACTACTAACTGGGCTATAACTGGGAGAGAAGAACAAACAAGACGAGCAACAGTCACGAGTGATAGCGAAAGCGGCACAAGGCACAGCGAACGGTGGTCGCAAAGACTGAATAAAATGGCAAATGCGCCGCTCTTTATAGGCTAGAGGGGGGAGGGGGAGCAGAGCTTTTTCCCGCCAAAAACCGTTAGCTATCAATCTTCCAGCCAAAGGCACTGCGCATGTGCAGCACCCATGTAAGTGATGCACAGAGGCCACGACGAAGAACCTGGGCTGTTCCATCTGTTGACAGGTAGAATCTCAGGACAGAGCTGGAGAAAAGGTACCATATGGTGGTGTGAAGAGCCAACAGTGTCTTGAGGGGAGAGAGGTAGTGAAATAGGCTGGGGGTGAGGCAGCATATCCCATATCGCCCCTGCAGAGGAGGAGTGGGAAGTACTCAGTTCCACATGCACCTTTGGGTCTGGTGCAGGAGCTGGAGTCTGGATCAGTGGTGGTGTGGCTGGGGCCTCTGGAGGAACGGGAGACCAAGCATACACTGAAGATGCAGTTGGTGAGTGGTGTCATTGAACACATAGAAAGGTATTTTCCTTTGCCCTTCTTGGGCACTATTTTAGGGGCGGCCACCATCATGTGGGTCTTTTGGACCAGTTTTTAAAACCTTTCCTCCTCACGAGGGTGCTTAGTTTTAGCAGGGTGCAAAGTGACTGATGGAGCTCCAGCAGCTGCTGACAGAGCACAAGAGGTGGAAGCCTGGGAGGTCAATGGAAAATCCTGCAGCTTCATGGTCACCAATTCCACCACCATTAGGGCATGACTCCACATTTCTGTGTTCGGACACCCAGCTTGATTCTTTCAGGCTTTCAGGCCTGGCAGGGTGGACAAGAATCTGTTCGGTGGTCCCCACTGAGGCAGAACAAGCAAAGAGAATCCCTTTCTGTCGATGGCATTTTTGTGCCACAATGGATGAATTTTCGAAAGGCTGCCCTGAGAGTCATCAGGGAAGGAATAGAAGTAGTGGAAAAGAGAGGGGACAACAGCATTTATTTCATTATATTTTACATTATTTATTTTTACAAAAGGTAAGTAAGGAGAAATGAGAACAAAAATTAGATTAGGGAATAAGTTAAAACTAAATTATTAAGATATGGAAGGTGCTAGAAAGTTGAGAAGGTATCAAAAAGTTAGGAACCTGAGGTACTCAAAATGGCAGCCAAAAATAAACTGGGGGAAATGGTGGGAGCCCCTCTTAGTTACACTAGAGGGTATGGGGCTCCTGCCAAAACTTTAGCTGAGCTAGGAAAAACTTCCTGACAACTGACACCACATAGGCGCAGTGCCCATTTGTGTGATGCAGAGACCAGAAATAAGAGTCAGGAGAGCTGATGATTCCCACTTGAAAAGAGTTTCCTCACACATTTCTAACTTGGGGTGGGCTGCCCTCCAGAACCTTTTGACATGTAGATGAGAGCCCAAAGGGGTCCTGACCGAATCTCCCCAATTGGAGCGTTCAGCTGGTTCAAAGCTTGCTTTGTTTTGGCAAGCCTCCTGCCAAGGGAAGATAACATGCGTATTTTGTTGTAAGGACTCACCTTCCTTTCCCATGTTATGCTCAAAACTGTTTTTCTGACCAACAGGGACTTGTTCATGCCTTGAAATACTCTGGTGAGGCCCTACTGCAGGCTCTTTTGCCTGTGGAAGTGAGGCAGGTGTTGTCACCAGAGAACAGTCCTTTTCTGCAGATGGCACCTTGTTAATGGAATGCCTTCCCTGGATCTGTATGCCTGGAGTCCACTTCCATGAATTTTCAGCAGCAGCTGAAAAGTTTTATTTATCTAGATACTTCACTTTATTGTACTGATCTATTTTTGCTGCTTTTAGATTGTGAGTTTTAGCTGGACTTCACCAGCTACTTAATTTGTTTAGTTTTATGATCATAAATGTTCTATAAGCTGTCAACATTAAAGGTAGGATTAAATATATTAAATAAAAGACCACATTACAGGTTGTGGATGATGTAATCATTTAATTGTCTTGTTTAGTTGAGAAATTATAACAAATTATAACATTTGTTTCTGTCCATATTCAACCTAGCTGTAACTCAACATGCCTACCAAGACTTTAATTTACTCACTTTTTAAAACTTCATATATTTGGACTAAACCTTTTAGTCTTTTAAAAACAATGAACTATCCATATATTAATATTAGGCCTTAATTTTATATGCCATAACCATAAAATTTATTTAAGAAACCATTATTTCCCCATTTGCTTGGAAAAAATCATATAGTTAATGCACATTTTAGCCAACTTTGTATTTAATACTTGTAAGTGCAGTTTTTGGTCAATCCATTAGAGAAATAAGCATCTCCAATTCACAGGTACCATTTGTACCTGTAAGGTATAGTCTCTGACATTTTAAGAGCAATTTTCCATACTCCAATTGAAGAATATATGAGGGTATTCCTAAACCTCAAAATACTGTGTCAACAACATACTCACAGACAAAACTGTTGAGCCAGGTCTTTTCAAAGTTAGTTGCCTCATCTGAAGGGACATTTTCAGGTTTAGGAAGTTATGCACAGAAGTGAGCTCAGATCTTTAAAATTAATCATGCAGAAAAACAGCATTGGTAGGAAGATGAATTAAACCTATAGTCAAGTTCAATTTATTAATATGTCTAAGGTATTACAGCATGCATGCTTGAAAATGTCTACAAAGACAGACCCAAGTTGACAATAAATGCATGCAAGATATCTCAAACTAACAACTAGAGCTGAACAATGTATTTCCAGTACAATGGGCAGCTGGCTATTCATGTTTATGCACAACATCTTTCAGTAGTGAAAGCACCTTGCAAAAAAAAAAGTTATTGAAAGTAATACATTTTATTTCATGAGGTAATTTCGTGTTTACCTTAAAGGTAAGTAAGGATGCCACAGATTGGGCAAAATGCACCAGAAATCTTCCATACAAGGCTTAACAATTTGAATGACTATTGTAAAGGACAATGGTGCTGTTTCCATTGGTGGTTTTACAGCATGGCATGCTTAAAATAAGAAGCGGTCCAAGTCTGAATCCTGCTAAGTTACATATGCTACAGTGTTCACCGCTGTGCTTCCAGCTCTTGTTCCTTGGCCAAAATTTGTGATTAATCCTCTTTTGTTCTTCTAGAATAATTCAAGACAACAGCAGTATTGCTTTTGCATCAATGAATTAAACATCCTTCAAGTTCAATCTACAAATAAAGGGAGACCGGAAGGAACCCAAGTAGAGATGTCCATTATGTTCATGTGCTTCACTTATGTATGTTGCTACCATTCCATTTGGGTCATGGAAGCTTCTTCTGTAGGAACCAGTGTCACTTAGTTCTACAACAAGGCTGTACTTAGGCACAAATTTTATCACTGTTTCTTGACTGAGCAGCTGAAACACAAGAAATAATTTTATAGACTATTGTATTTTTATCTTATCCACAACATGCACTGAAGTTTATTAAGCTAATACTGATCTCTATAAAGAAGGTTTAACTAACAGAAATTTAAAAACCTGAATATACAAACAAAGAACATGATCCAGGCAAAGGTAAGCAGTTGGAATAAGTGTGTGCTTAACTTTGTCACTAAAATACATTTAAGTCTCTTCTACTGAATCAACAACCTAAATGTTTAACTTTCATACCAGAATTAGCAAAATGTTTACTTAGACTCACTGTGGACATTTTAGACTTTTTTAGTACGTATGCGCCGTCATCAAATAGACACTCCCAGAATATGGCTGTCAGTTTACATAACATTTGGGAAGCAAAGTGCATTTTGCAGCATTTATACAGCAAAAAGTGAGGGGTGAGTAGTACAGCCTTCTCCAATCCCTGGCCATCCAGTCTGGGAATTATGGTAGCACCTGGAGAACACATCTGGAGTTTGTGGAAGGCTATACCAGAATTTTTTGTACTTTGCTCAAAAACAACCGTATCTAAAATGTACTGAATTTTTCCACAGCCTTCACACAAGTTAAAAAGGCATATAAGATGTACATATATAAGATATCCATCAGCCTAGAACAGCAGTAGCAGGAACACCTGATGACATAGAAAGAATGAACAACAACTGTCTTTAGCACCTCTCTTGGCTACCACCAGCAGGACTTTTAAGGAGAAAAGTTCCACTTACAATTCAGAGAACTGGAAACAGTTGATACCATTTATTCTAAACAGCAGTGGTTACAGAACAAACATCTGTTTGACCAGAAAGTAGATCCTGAAAAGAATCTGTCTCCAGGGCTCCCCCTTACTTTCATACTATTTAAGAGTAGTAAAACAAGAAACCACAAAATTCCATTATCTGATGTCACTGAGAATACTAGCATTGTTTTGTCACTTTTAGGGGCAATATGATCCACTGTAGGTCTGATTTTATTATTATTATTATTATTATTATTATTATTATTATTATTATTACATTGCTGTGAACCACTCTGAAAATTATTACACTTGAAAGAAGTATGTAAATATTGTAACTTTAAAAATAACATTAAGCTTTCTGTTTCCAAGTACAAATTATCAAAATTACATTGGCTGAGGCCAAGGCTAGACTGCTCTACACAAAAGCTTAGATATAAAAAGCAGAGTTTTCTTAGGGTATTTTAAACTCATTCTACCATGAAGAATATAGAGAATGGACATAGATTTTTTTAAAAAGTTGGCTGGTTTTTACCTTAAATATTATTCTTTTAATCCACGGCTTTTCAGATAAGAAATCCATCAGAGAAAATCCAGGATTGGCACGAATAGCGGACATAGCCACCCAATAACCTCCCGAGCTGCTTAAACGTATATTGTCTGGAAAACCAGGCAAATTTTCTACAAACATGTCTTCTCCACCTTTCATTAAGCCAGAGACATAATACCTGAAATGTTAAAATGCGTAACAACTTACAGATTACAGCACAAGTTAAGGAAGAGCTGCGGGAAACAAAGACATTACTGCATCCTAAGAAAAAGTTATAAGGAAAGGTCAATTACATCAGAAGCAGACAGAACACTTCAGAGAAAAGTCAGTTGCAAGTCACTTGCAACAAAGCCACTTGTTGTACAAGCTAAAACAAGCCACCATGATTTATTTAAATCATGGCGTGTTTAAAGAGGGAAATACCTTCAAAGAAACCAACAGCAGGACATGAGTTATTTGAGGGCTGTTTCCTCTCAAGCCATGCTGCCCTGGTCCAGACAATATGACAAGCTGAGCCCAGACTGGCAGATGGCACCTGACATATGCCATCAATTTAAACAAACAATTGTGGTTTATTTAAATTGCTGGTGTAGTGTATGCTAGGTGACACTGGCTGAATTTAAGCCATGGTGGCTTATTTCATTGTACAAACAGGTCCACTGAATGACTAATAAATACTTATTTGGCATATATGGTTAACAAGATAAATGTAAAAAGAAGGACACATGGATCTTGAGGCATATTTTTAAAAAGGCAACTCAGAACATTTGGCTAATACCAGTAGTGCACAACCAACTAATCTGCAAGAACCTCAGAAAATGTGACTGACCTTCGTATTCTTGCCATAGTTGTTTCAGCCACCAAAACAAAGTCTTCAGCAGGTGAAAGCTGGATTCCATTTGGAAATCTAAGCCCTCCCATTAATACTTTCACTTCTTTTGTCACTGTGTCATATTCAAGCAAGCTAAGGACAAAGAAATTATGGAGGCATTAAGGATGAAGATGGTAGCATTTTACACTGCACATCTGATTTAAAATACTAGATTGAGAGTGGTAGCTATTGGGCGTGACTTTTTGTCTATTTGTTTACAAACAACAGAAGTGCACAACTTACAGTCCCTTGCAGAAGTACCCCTTTGACTTTCCACATTTTGTTATGTTACAACCTGGAACTGAAATGGATGTTGCTGGCGTCGCTACTACTTGATGTACACAAGATACTCAAAATTATGAAGGTGAAAAATATTTTTATTATGGCACAAAGATAAACAAAAACTAACAGGCACTTGCTGGTTGCATAAGTTTTCATACCCCCCACCCCCACCAAGGCTATGCTTTGGAAGCAATCACAGCTACAGGTCTCTTTGGGTATGTCTCTATCAGCTTTGTGCATCTGGATCCTGCAATGTTTGCCCATTCTTCCTGGCAAAACTGGCCCAGCTCAGATTGGATGGGGACTTTCTTATTATTACATTTATAAACCACCCCTTAGCCCAAAGGACTCTCTGGACAGTGTACGATATAAAACAAAATAGAAACAAAGAAACAAAGAGCAAAGTGAGTCAGAAGAGGTCTCCTGGGCTATGTAGTCTAACACAACTCCACTCAAGACATGCCTACCATGTGCATGCCCAAACATTAACATAGTTAACATTTTCCTACAAAGTTAACATTTAAATGCATTTTCAAAATACATCTTTCTAAAATACTTATAATACATTAAATCATAATAAATACAAGTGGCTGAAGACATAAATTATGGTTCTTACACCAAAAAATATACACATGAAACATCCACACAGATAGGAACATTTGTCTTATCATACGTTCCTTTTTGTTTGAGAAGCTCTTCCTGAAGTGTCTGCCTTCTCATTTAAACCCATTTAACTCTTTCCTTTTCAGCTGGCTTAAATTAGTCCTAGAAATTTGCCACTTTGCTTGCTAACCTGGAGTATTGCTCCTGCTGCGACATGTAGCATTGTATCTCATAGCAACTGCAGTAAATTAGAGAAGTTGCACAGCCCCTGGCTAAGACTACAATTCAATACTGCTAAGAGGCAAAGTCAAGCAGTAATACAGAGATATAGCTCATATGGACACTTCGTCTAGCTCAAATCCTAACAAGGAACAAAGTAAGAACCCTACTCCTTGTAAGTAGTCATATCAGGGTTCTCTATGTCTATGGCCTGATTATGCTGTGTTATTCACTGTTCCCAGCATTTGCTGGCACTCTAACCCTGGATGGTGTATTTCCTTCCAACATTCACATATTTATAATTTTGTAGAGAAACACAGCAGCTGGAATTACATTTGCAGCACCTTCTGAAACAAGTGTACAGATTACATATTAGCTCCAAAACTTCAATTTATACATGGAGTTCTACATTTAATCAAAGTACTAAAACGTATGTGACTTCAATTAAGAATGAGGGCTAAGAATTAATAAATGCCTCCAGAAATTCCACACCAAGCAGCCCCAACTATGCCAAAGACCAAAAATCATTCACCTAGCAACACTGCTGCACTGCCTAGTCAATGTTCTGCTTAAGCAATTGACACTCAAAACCAAGGCAAGGGTTTTCATAACCCTGTGACCAGCACACATACCGTCCATCATCTGAAGCCTCCATGATTAATAAAGAGTAGTCTTTTCTGTGCCATTTACTGCTGGAGTCTGTAAAGTAGATTTTCCTTCCATCCCGAGTCAGTGTAAGATCATTCACAAAAGACATGTTCTTTCCCTCAATGGGAGTCTTGGATGAAACAAGGAGCTTCACTTCACCTAGTCACACAAGAAGTACTCATTTTAACCTCTTGCTTTCCTGTACTTAAATGACTACATGCTTAAACTAAGGATATCTGTATCTTTCCACTCATGAGAAAAGCATATCTTTTAAGAATTGCATATTTGCATTGTACTATTCTTATAAAACAGTGACACAGGAATCACTATAACATCTGGAAAGTTTTGAATAAACTAAGTGAAAAAATTGGAGCAAGTTTAAAATCTCTATGCAGTCTTCCAAAGACAGACAAATACTTCACAAAAGCAAGGACAAGTTCAAGGAAAGGTGAAAAGATGGGGGAAAGAACTACAAACAAGCAGAACTGTAGAGCTTCTAGCAAAAGAAAACTACCTGAGACAGGATTTATTTCAAAGAGTCCATAGTAAGCATCTGCCACAAAAAGGGTGTTCTTTGGTCCAACACGAATTCCAAGAGGTCTCCCACACATGGGTTCATCTTCTCTTGCACCTTTTACAATACATTTATAACAGGTTCACAATCAGTAGCCTGTATACAAAGGTTTCTATTTTGCTTCAGAAAGATAAGGTTAACAGTCTAGAATGTAATCTACAAAAAGAGAGGATAAAATCAAAGACAGAAATTTTGAGGAATGTTCAAGCAAAAAGCTGTGGTTCTGTGACATCAGTGCCATTTCATTACAGAAATTCAAAGAGGTAGTCATATTAGTCCACCATTTTTACTGCAAAGTTGCATTTTTGATATTTTAACATTTAAGCTTGCTTGGACAAAAGATCAGTTGTATACGGAGTAACTGATCTCTTCTACTGAATCTCTTCTTGCACTTTTGGTGCTTTTTAAAAAGGTTATTCTTTTCTTCATATGGAAATGCAACCACAGTGATGTGCTGATGCTGAGAAGTCTAACTTGCTTGAGCTCAGTGAACTTCCTGTCTGCTTTGGATCAGATGTCTATAAGTGGAATGGGTCAGGTTTTTTCTGCGGACTTTTGTCTCTGGGATAGGCTATAGTTTTTTTCAATTTTAAAAAGATAAGGAAATGTTTGCAAATTGTGCAATTCCATAAATTTCTATAATTTGCACAAATTTTAAACATTGCAATATTTGTATTTTGTGCAAATTAGCACCAGAAAAGCAGGTGGATTAAGTGTGATCTGAATAAAATTGTCCAAAGAGTGCTGAATCCATATGCTTTTCAGGTATCAATTTGATTTTTATGTAAATATCCTTAGCATGTATAAAAAATCAAAAAACCACAAATCACAGCCCATAGAAGTCCATGCACTTACATCATAACAAGTCAGCACTAGTGCAGGGCTGAAAAGCCAGAATTTCCAGTCATGAAAATCTGTTGAATTTGAACCCACTATCAGATTCTCACACATCCCTTAAAAGAGAACTCTTTTTCTCAAGCAGCTTCACCCTTTTTGTCTCCTAGGAAGGATAGTTAGCCTGTGGCTTAAATACAGCCTCTGAAACAGAGGGTGAGAGAAACTCTATTAAGTACATGGCTTGTTAGATTATGCTTTGGTTTGGTTTCCTGCCTGCCTAATTGAGGCTTCCCCTTGCCCATTCCTACTTGAGCAGCTTCCTCTCCAGCAGCAGCAGGGCCTTAGGCTAGGTGATAAGCCAAAAACCAAAGCATAATCTAAACTGAGGTGGCCTTGGTAGAACCAGGCCCCTGTGGTAAAACATGAATTCAGCAGGGAAACCTATGTCCCTCACTAGATCTCCTCCCAGCAGCTGTTTGCATGTGACGTATCAGGCTTGTGGAATTTACTTTGCTTTTTTACTAGGACCGCTGAATACCAGAACTGAACTGCATCTTTCCACATAAGCATCTACTGCTGCTTCTCCTGACTGTGATCACACTTCTTTTCAGCTGTGGTTAATGGAGGGGGAAGGAAGTCATTTTGTTATTGCTTCTGTTAAACAATTAGGAGTTGAAATCTTTGCTGATCTATTTGAAATCACCCAGTGATCTACCAATGGATCTGAATCTACATTTGACCACTCCTTCTGTAGAAAAAAAATGATCAAGCATACATATTTTTCCAACTAGATGATGATTTTTGCAAGTGCCAAGCAGAAGCTGTATGTAGGAAATCCTCAACACTAATGGGCTAATCACTGCTCAAGTCAAGCCCCTTTGGAACAGCACCTACAAAATACTTACTGCAAGGACCATGGCCAAGTCGGGCTAGTATGTGTATCTCTCCATTTTCAATCTTCAAAATTTTTCCATCTGCAGTACCAGTGAACAGCACATCTAACAGAAGGAAAAACCAAGATGACTATATTACTCTTATGACATACAAGACTTTCAGAAAAATTCAAGATATTAACAACACTGACTTTTAACTAAAATCAGCCTTGGATATCCATATGATCAGATAACCACTGGTGAAAGGGGCATGGACAGTCTACAGGTGTTCCTGCCCTGTTTCCTGCGATACCTGCAGGAAGCCCAAGGAATGGGGAGAAGGTGCCTCCAGAGCCACAGTGCTGCAGATCATCTGTTGAGGACACTGTGGGCTCTGGAGCAAACAAGCCACACTATGAAGCTTCCACAAAGCATGGCCTGTTGTGGCATGCAAGTCCATCCGAAGTCCCACTCAGAATATGGCAACTTTCCATGTTCAAAGATCAATAGCAAGATCCCTACTTCTTAAACAAGAAAGGGGTAGGTTTATTTTCAGTGTAATATTTCTTTTCCCTTTGTATTTATTCCATCAGTGAAATAAGGTGCAATTCTTTTGAAATCTATTATATAATAATTTGGATTGATATTTAAAGAGCAATCTTGTTCTCAAATACTTTGGGGAAAGCAAGATACTCAGAAAATTTTACTGGAACACTGGATTAATGTGTGACCCAAGATCCATGCAGAAATTATTTCTGGGAAAATTCCTTAAGTGTGAGGAAGCTATTAAGCAGATACCTTAATTATCTGCACTTACCACCAATATTTGCAATAGATTCTGGTCCAACAAGTTGATTTTCAAATAACCTTTCTGCTTGCCGGAGCTTAAAGTTTGGCTCTAATGTACCAGTAAGGAGAGGAGGTTCTTTGAAGCTAGAAAAAGAGAGAAGTTATTTCATCAAATATACCCCAAGTGTATTCAAAGAAGATCATTCTTGAGCAGCATTCTTAAGTTTGCCAAACTTGCAAATTTCAGATAGCTTTCCACTTTGTTAGCCTCATTATTGATTCAAGAATTCCACATTCTGTGCATTGTTTTATATTAACAAGACAACTGAGCTCAAGTTATACCAGGTACACAGTCCAGCAATTCTCAAATTCACCATGACAACATGGTTGTGATGAAATTGGACTTTTACATTTTAAAATATTATGTATAAATGTATAATATGTTCAGATATTTGCAATACATGATTAGTCTTGTTTCATAGAGAAGCTGTTCTAGAAAGAGAACAGACTGAGGAACATCTTCCTTTCATAAGGAATCATTCAAAGAAAACAATCTGTAGTAAAGTCAAGATAACTTCATATAATGCATAGCTAATGTATGAAATATGTGTCTATAAAAAGTAATGATGCCCACTAGCTTGAACACCTTTAAACAGAAAGTTGACAAATTCACTGAAGATAACTCTATGTTCAACTATTTAATGCAGTTGGTAAAATCATGAGGATGCTGCTGCTTCACACATCCTGTGTCGTTAGACACAGTCCTCCTGAGTAAACTCGCTGTTCCAGAGGCTTTATTGTTATACATCTCTATCATTGCACATCTGAGTTCATACAGAATGAAGTTTTGAGCTCTCTCTAATACCTCTCAACCACCAAACCACTTATACCCTTTTTCTCTTGCACCACCATGCAGGCAGAGTGCTGTGAAATCTCACCTGATGGCACTCCTCCCATTTCTCTGTCAATTGAATCTCCCATCTGTGTTGTCTCCAAGCGACCAGCATCACCTCTTCAAGAGGAGGGACCTTGATGCCAGAAAAGCTGCTCACCTCTTGCTGTGCAGCCTGCCCAGTTCCCAAATCTTTCCCTGCTCGCTCTCATTGCTAGATCAGGGCTCTTGTCAGTTCCATATCCTCTGTGCTATCTCCCTATTCTCATGGACCAGCTGACCATCACCTCCACCCACCTGGGCCAGCAACCCCACCCCTCTTGTTCCCTAGATGTTTCCCAAACTTGATTTGATACTAGCTTTTGCTGACATTCCACAACCCCTTCACCTTCACTGTCTGAGCTCACATTCCTATTGAAGCTATACACTGATCATGCATGTTCTGGCAGCTTTTCCCTATACATGCACATGACGTCCTGCTTGTGAGCATCCCAAAATTATTTGGCTGTTGAAAACAAGATACTACATGAGATGGAGCAACTGCAAAAACCTGGAAACAGTGCCCACAGTGCTATCACATTTAATCTATAGTTGGCTGAAAGATTGCTAAAGAGGTCAAACAGTTGTGTTTGACTTTGAAAGTGGGAAATTCTCAAAAATGAGGAAACTGGTAACGTAGTTGAATTGTTACCTGGATGGTTTTGCAAACCATACAGAACATTTTACCAACATAACGATAGCAGTATTTTCAGTTATTGACATTCCAATTACCAGTAAACCATTTTATACACAAGTCAAGTTTCACTCATTTTCTTATAAAGCCAAGCAAGTAGACTGCTTTTATGAAGCTACAAAGTATGTAAAAGTTATTACTTAGGTCAATAAAATGCAATCATAAGAGAACTGATCATACCAGTAGGTGGTAAAAAAAACACTATTTAGCAGTTTAAAATGAAAAATCTCTTATCTGGATGAGGCTGAATATTTAGGGAGCTTAAGACAGCAGAATGTGTTTATGTTGCCATGGACAGTGTTAGCGGCAGACAGCTATTAACCTGTTTTAGGTGTGCTTTGGAATATTTCTTTCTATCCTTTACCACCAGGATAATGTAAGTTATGCTACATGGACCAAGGTTCTATGAACTAAAGGGATCTAAAGTCACACAAAAAACTGGTCAGGGATTACAAAAGGTTAGACACTTGTTAATTACAATTTTTCCATGTCACAAGAAAACTCCTTGTAAGTATGCTTGCATGTGAATATGTATCATTAGCATTGCCACACATGAAAATTTGTGTACCAGGAAATGCATGAGCCACAACTTTAGTAAAATCCAGTTTCAATTCATGTGATAGTTTGCACAGTATTTTGTGCAGTAGGCATAGAACGCTAGAAACTGTCTGGGGCCTGTGAATGTGACTAGTTAGGCAACTATGGTATGAACAAACTTCTGTAGGATAAAGAGCACAGAAACCGACTGAATGTTAAAACTTACACAACACACAAAGGAATGCTTGAAAAACAAATACAGAAAAGCTTGCTTATATAGATTTTTAAATGCAGAGGAAATGTTGCAAAGCCTTTTGATGTTTAAAACTAAGTCAAACATGGATGTTGTAAACTCCAAAACAAAATTTTGGGGTCTGCTTTTTAATAATCTCCATGGAACCTACCAAACACTGGCAGAGTAGGTGATTTCTGCCCTGTTCTGAACAGGGTTGCACTCCCCCTAAAGCATAGGGTGAGCAGTTTGGGAGGGCTCCTCAACCCAGAGCTGTCTCTGGAACTCCAGGAGGCTGCTACGGCGAGGAGCGCTTTCCTTCAGCTTTGGCTGATTCATCAAATGCACCCTTACCTGGATGAGCAGAGCCTAGCAATGGTAACCCATACTCTGGCAACCATCTCTTTTAACACACTTTACATGGTGCTGCCCTTGAAGGAGGTCTAGATACTTCAGTTGGTTCAGAACAGAACAGCCAGGAAGTTAACAGGAACTGGCAGATTTGCACATATAACACCAGTCCTTTACCATCTACACTGGCTACTAGTTGAATTTTGGGCGCAATTTAATGTGTTGGTGATGACCTATAAAGCCCCAAAAGGCTTAGGACCTGGATATCTGAAGGACTGTCTCCTTCCTTATGTGCCTGCCCATCCCCTAAGATCTAGGTCAGAGGTCCTTCTTTGGGAGCTCTCTGTGAAGGAAATTACGAGTGGCAACACTGAGAAGGGCCTTTTCTGCAGTGGCACCCTGGTTATGGAACGTGCTCCCCACAGAGGTTCGCCTGGAGATGACACTTTATTTTTTTCGGCGCCAGGCCAAACCCTTTTTATTTTCCCAACATTTTAAGGTTTAATTGCTATTTTAATTGGGGTTTTGTAGAGGACATGATGCTGTGCTTTTTATTTTATTGTAAGACCATCCTGAGAATTTCTGTAATAGGACAGGACAGAAAAGTTCTAAATAAATACATTCATATATTCCTTTCAGCTTTCATTTCATGAAAATGATTGTCCATCCTAATAATTCTTAGGTTTCAGTTTCTCTGATTTAAGTTACATGTGTAAAGATAATGTCTTGAAAGAATGGCTGTTACTCCACCTTTATGTGGTAGAGGAACTGAGCCATGCAAAAGCAAAGTGGTTCTTTATGGCAGGAAAACAGGTCAGCAAGACAGATTAATGAATCTGATTTGAATATTAAGCATTAATTTTAGTTATGTGCCTTCAAGTCATCTCCAACATGGTGGCCCTATGAATGAATGCCCTCCAAAATGTCCTGTCCTTAATAGCCCTGCTCAGTCTGCTTAATCATTTCATAGTTTTCCTCTTATTTTTCTGTTCTTTATAGCATTGTTGTCTTCTCCAGCGAGTCTTGCTTTCTCATGATGTACCCAAGGTACATCAGTTTCATCGCTTTTGCTTCCAAGGAAAGTTTTGGCTTGATTTGATCTAGGACCCACTTGTTCCCTTTCGTTGATCCAGGGAATTTGGAAAACTCTCCTTAAGCTCACTGTGTTTTCAAGGCATCCATTTTCTCCCCGTCCACTTCCTTCACTGATCTGGAATGCGACAGTATAGATGACCTTAACCTTGAAATGATCTTCACTTCTCCAATGAAATGTCCTTTACTTATTTTTTCTAGTTCCTTCATTACTGCCCTTTCAAACTTCAGTCTTTTTCAAATTTTTGGACTTCACTCTCAATTTTAATTGATGATTAAACCAAGATAGGCAAAATCTTTCACAATTTCAATTTCTTCATTGTTGACATTGAATAATTCTTCTGAAATCACGATTTTTGTTTTCCTAATGTTCAACAAGGCATAGCCTACCACATATGGTATGTATCCTTTGTTCTGGTGCAACCTGGAATACCCTGCCATGTATAATTCAAGTCAGTCTTGAAAAGAGTCTACATCCTTGCCATTAGTACTGATCACAACAAAGGTACATATGGGAAAATGCATACCTTCAATTATTCTGGACCCTGAATCACTGAAAATCAACATTTTGACAAGTGTACGAAGTACAGTATCAACCAATGCAATCAAGCAAATGCTTGTTACAATGCTCTTTCTACACTGAATACTTGCATTCTACTTGCAAGTAGAATACTTGCATGTAGCAATAGACTTGACACTAAAACACCCACACCCTAATAGAACTGTCAATGACATATGTGAACTTGTATACTATGTGCCATGTTCTGGTATAACATATGCTTAACTACTCACCTAATAGGCTGAGGGTCTATTGGACAATCCAGAAGAATTATTGCTCCAAATAAGGGAATAATGAGAGATACTGCCAAAGTCATGAAAGTCACACGAAACACCTTGTTGCTGTAAGTGCTGCAACCAAAGTACAATACAGAAATTAGATTCTTAATCTATAGGTAACTGTGGGATTGCCTAAATATGCTAATTAGAATACAACTGTCTAGCCCAGGGATCGGCGACCCACAGCTCCGGAGCCGCATATGGCTCTTGAAAATAGGAAAATTATTTTGAAGACTGCTGAGGCAGAAATAAAAAACTTATATATACATAATATAGTATTCTGTGTATTGGTTTTTTAAACAGAATACCAAAAAAAGAAAATATTCTAAAATAATCAGAAACTGAGTAGTAAAAAATGCTAATAAAAGAATAAAATATTGAAACTAAATGTAATCAAATAAAGCTACTGTGAAATCTGCTGTTGCTTCTTTGTAAGAATACACGATCAAAAATTTACAACAGCAAAATACAAAATCAATATAAATGCAATACCATACTTATAGCAAGTACAAATTCAAATACAATATTAGCAGCAAAGCAATACAAAATCAAAGTTACTTAATACAATAATATTCATAATGTTAAATACTGAAGAAATACAATGAATACCCTCCCCCACTCAAACCCCCATACACACCAGCACAAACTGGCTGAGAAAAAAACTCTTAGCACAAGCCCACCTCAGCATTTCCCTTCCCAGCAGAAAACACAGCAAAGAAAGGAAAAGGCCCAATCTCAGGTCCCCACCCAGAAGGCAGACCCAGTATGGCTGGGCTCCCAGCTGGCTCCCATTGAACTACCTCTCCCCTCTTCATTATCAAATTTCTTACATAAAGAAACTATCAAGTCCAGGAAAATTTTAGCCTGCCTTCCCATCAAACTTGTTAGCTTTCTATACACTTTGTTATTTTAATGAAGGAAAGTTTTTAATGATAACCAATCTTCAACATGCATTCTGTAGTGGAACATTCCTATATAGCCTGTGGTCCTGCGTAACATATAGTTTGATTCTAATTCTGTTATGTTGATTAATAAAATGCAAATTAAGTTGCTATGTTGCATAAAACTATTTCCAGTTCTTCCAGTATTAATTATAATCTCCCAATATTAATTGCTTTTAGATATTGGTAAAGGTAAAGGTTTCCCCTTAACATTAAAGTCCAGTCATGTTTGACTCTAGGGGGTGGTGCTCATCTCCATTTCCTAGCCAAGGGAGCCAGCATTTGTCCTCAGTTTCTGTGGTCATGTGGCCAGTATGACTAAACACCAAAGTGCATGGAATGCTGTTACCTTCCTACTGAAGGTAACTTTTTATCTTCTTGTATTTACATGCTTTCAAACTGCACGGTTGGCAGGACCTGGGACAGAGCAACAGGAACTCATGCCATTGTGCAGACTTGAACCAGTGACCTTTTGATCAACCAGCCCAGCAGTTTAAACCACTGTGCCACCTGCATCCCCTTAGATCTAAACCAGCTGCATTTAGATATTAATCCCCCAGTATTCCAAAAAAGAAACCACAGACTTGAGTCAATAAAATCTGAGCAGGGCTGTTACATATTTTGGAAGGCCTTCATAAGCTCACAATAACTGAGGAACAACTTTAACAAATTAAACTGAAGATGTTAATCTTTCACCTTTAAATCTTCTTATATTGTTTCTGTGTTCTTCCCAAAGTGGGTTGGGGGAGATCTACCTGGGGAGCTAGATAAGGTTGAGGTTACAGGGGTGCAGATTGGAGTCACCTCTGGGCCCTGGACCTTACAAAGGCATCAGGCCCTGGTGGGCTACATCTGAGGGTACTTTTGGAATTGGCAGGGGTACACTCGCATCTGCTGGCCTTCATCCAGCCACATAGCATGGATTCCATAAAAACAGATCCTGCCAGTCAAACTTTGTGAAATTCTATGATAAGGTCTCAAGGTGGCTAGACAGAGGGGACATGGTGGATGTGGTTTACCTGAATCTCAGGCCTTTGACAGAGTGTCTCACGATATCCTGGTCAAGAAATTGTTGTGCTTTAGGATAGATCATGGCACTGTCCGATGGATTAGGGCATGGCTGATGGACTGTAAACAGAGGATGACTATCAGTGGGGAATCATCAGGATGGCAGCCAGTGATGAGCAGAGTCCCCCAGGACTTAGTTCTGGGACTGATTCTGTTCAACCTTTTTATCAATGACCTGGCCAATCTGCTGACTAAATTCATGGATGATAACAAAGCGGGGACGGGGGCACAACTGAGGAGCAGGTGATCCAGATCCAGAAGGCTGTGGAAGTGGGCGGGGGACAATAGGATGGGGTTTAATGCAGGCAAGTGCAAGGGACTTGGGACTCAGGAATAGGTGTCAAAGGTACAGGATGTGGGACAAGTGGCTGGAGAGGGGCACTTGTGAAATAGATCGCAGCGTACTTGCTGATAGCAGTGTGATGTGGCAGTTGAGAAAGGGACACACCATTCTTGGATGGTTAGCCAGAAGCATGGCTCCCAGATTGAGAGAGGTGTTACTGCCACTCTGAAAGTCTTTGGTGTGCTCACAACTGGAGTACTGTGTCCAAATCTGAGCTCCACATTACAAGAGACACATAGCTAGCTTAGGATCAGTTCAGTGCAGGGTCCTAAGAATGGTAGCCAGATTGAGGGAGATTACATGAGAGATTAGATAGAGGAAGCTGGGTCTTTTCAGCCTGAAGAGATGACGACTCAGAAGGGATCCTATATTGACACATAGGTAAGTGAAGTGATGTCACACAGTACAGGGTTGTGACCTGCTCTCCCCTGAAGTGGTGGAAAGGATGTGGTCCAATAGGGCAATGTTCAAGGAACTGGGTTTCCTTGGTTGGATGTCAGGATGTACTTCCTGACGGTTAGGACCCCTAGGATATAGAATGGGCTTCCAAGGGAGATGGTGAGGGCCCATCAGCAAGGATATTCAAGGAAAAATTGGACAAACACATGCTGGATATTACATGAATGGAGCCTGCTGGAGCAGGGGCCAGATTAAATGCCCAGAGACCTGTTCTGACTTGCTATTTTTCTAAGAGCCACTAGAGGGCAGCCTACCATCTGGCCAAAAGGACAATGCCCAAGGCAAGAAATCATTAGGCCTAGGAGATGTACCAGGTTGGTCACATCTGCTGGCTTTTATTCTTGTAGTTTGTTCACTTGGTCTTGAAGTTTGAGTGCTCTTTCCATGGGGAGAATTAAGCAGCCCGATTGCGTCAATGAGAGACTCCTAGGTGAATGAGACTGAGTGGCTCTTTGTCTTGTTGATGACTAAGCAGTAGCTGGGAACACCAAACATGAGATAGATTGAACTCACAAAGGAATTAACAGCCTGGTTTAGCTTGTTTTTGCTTTTGTGGGAGAACAAAGGACCTGAGACTGGTAGAATGGCCGGACCATACATCTTGCTGTTTAAACAAACGGTCCTCTGGCTTTGATAAATTGGAGATGACTGATACTAGAAAAGCACTAAGAGGTAATGTCTACTCACTGAGCTTCAGTCCTGAATGCGTCGCATCTAAACTACATGAAATTGGCACCACTTATGATTTGCAGAAATTGCCAGAGAAGGGGCAATTCTCACTATGTCAGTAATTGTTGGCAGGGGATCTTTCCATTCACTTGGGCTGCTGCATTTTCTCCAAGTCCAAATGCAATCAGATGGTAGATTCCATGTTGCCCTTTGAGAGGGTGGTGAGGTCCATAGCCCCCGTCTGTGCATATACTGTGAGCTGTCCAGAGAGCTTACGCTATTTGGCAGTTCAGAAATTTAACAAAAAAGGAAATTACTGCATTCGGGCTACAATTTTACCTCTCTCCATCAGCAAGACTGAGCAGGCAGTTGAGACCTATGGCTGTATATTTGGAGAAGATAGCATAGTTTGTAGATACAATGCCCCAACTTCCTCAGCCTCAACCATATTTCATCAGCAAGCATGAGTATGCGAGAATAAAGTGCTTGTGTTTGAAAGGATTCCTGACAAAACTGATATGGCTTTACCGGTTTTGTAGATTTGCAGCCTCCTTCCCCTCACCCATCAACTGGAGGAACTATGAGGAACTGAAAGCAGTGAGGAAGGACAAAGAAATAAAGAAAAAGCAGCATCTTTTGTGGGAAGGTTTGGCAGAGAAAAGGTTTTGAAGTTAAGTAAATAAGAATTCCAGTATTTTAATATTAAAAATATAATCTTGAACAAATCTGTCCTGGCTGAAATGTAAGGATGAACTGGGGCAGGGAGAGCCTAGAATCAGTTTATCATTCAAACATTTGTCAGATGGTCTTCATGTTTTCTGAATTGAAGGAGTGATTGCTTCATAATTCTTATAAAGCTAACAAGTAATAATCCCTGGTTATTTCTCCACTCTGAGTTTATCCTGAAGACAAAATGTGGGTTTATAAACTATTTTTCAGTGTCATGGAAATCAGTTAAATCAATTTAACTCATTTAAATTTAAATCATGTAAATTATATTACAAGCTTTGTTTACCTCTCCCCCTTGGATGTATACCTTAATGCTGTAAAAGGGTTTGAGCGCATCAGTGAAGACAAGGAACTCAGGTCTCCTGGGAGGGTCATCCAAGGCTGAATGGTCAAAACTGAGACCATTCCTGAGAAGGGCAGAACATAATGGACTGGATGAGAATCAGTAAGCTGAAACTCAATCCAGACAAGACAGAAGTGTTGTTGGTAGGCGGCTGCTCTGACAGGCCGGAAGCCATTACCCTGTCCTAGATGGAGTTGCACTCCCCCTGAAGGGCAGGGTTCACAGCTTGGAGGTGCTCCTGGTCCCAGAACTATCACTTGAGACCCAGGTTGCCTCAGTGGCCAAGGGTTCCTTCCTTCCGTTGTGGCAAATATACCAACTTCACTCCTACCTGATAGAGGAGCCTGCCAACAGTCACATATGCACTGGTAACATCCAAACTAAATTACTCCAATGCATGGAGCAGCCTTTGAAGATGGTCCAGTGAATTCCAAAATGGGACTGCACATCTAGTGCCAGGAATCAGTTTGTGTGCCTGGGCCCAATATAAAGAGCTTGTCTTGACATATAAAGCCCTAAACAGCTTAGAACTGGGTTCCTAAAGGACCATCTGCTCCCATACATACCTTGTTGTTGTTAGTTACAGTCGTGTCTGACCTCTCGCATCCCCAAGGACAACATTCCTCCAGGCCCTCCTGTCCTCCACCATCCCCCGGAGTCCACTTAAGCTCATGCTGACTGCTTCAGTGACTCCATCTAGCCACCTCATTCTCTCCCTCCCCTTCTTTTGCCTTCAATTATTCCCAGCATTAGGCTCTTCTCCAGTGAGTTCTTCCTTCTCATTAGGTGGTCAAAGTATTTGAGTTTCATCTTCAGTATCTGACCTTCTAAAGAGCAGTCAGGGTTGATCTCCTCTAGGACTGACTGGTTTGATCACCTTGCAGTCCAAGGGACCCGCAGGAGTCTTCTCCAGCACATATACACCTACCCACCTATTAAGATCTGGGCAGGAGGTCCTTCTAAATGAGCGGTTCCTTAAGGAGATAAAGTAAAGGTTTCCCCATGAAAATAAGACGACCTATGGGGTGGTGCTCATCTCCGTTTCTTAGCTGAGGGAGTCAGCATTTGTCCGCAGACAGTTTCCGTGGTTCTGTGGCCAACACAGAGGTGTACAGAAAGCTTAAGGAGATATAGTAAATAGAAGGACCTTCTTGGTGGCTACCCCTCAACTATGGAACAGGCTCTCCAAAGGCATTTGCCTGCCTGGTGCCAACCTTGTTTGCATTTCAGCACCAGGAGAAGACGTTTCTTTTCTCTGAATACTTTCAAGGACAGCCCTCAATGTGGTCTTTATTTCTGACAGCGGTTGTTCTGCTTGCTTGTGATAAAATTTTGAGATTTGTTTTTAAATCTTTTTATTGTGATGTTAACTGGTTTTATTGTTGTTTTTAGTACATTACTGTAAGCTTCCTGGAGAATCCACTTGGGTTAGTGGCAGGCATGCAAATTAAAAAAAAATAGACAATAAAAATGGAGAAACAGAATAGTTTCTTACAGGTAAAGGCCTCAGGCCAGGATATATTTGAGCTTTGTATCTGCTCAGCTTTTACACAGAACATATAAGGAAAACTGAATGAGGATCAACGGAAGCAACAGTGAAAATTAGTGGAAGATTCATCAATAAGTGCGAGATACAAAGTGATATTATATTACTGGCAAAAAGCAGCAATGAATTGGGATGATCACTGATGGTGAAAGAAAAGGTGCAAATGCAGGACTGCAAGTGTTAAAATCATGATTGCAAAAGACTATACTGTCAACAATGAAGAAATCAAAATTGTGAAAGCTTTGCATAACCTTGTCTCAACAATTATAAAACCAGCAGCAAAAGCAAATAAAGTCGTAATTCTAAAAGTACTAAATTAAAAAGTCTTTGCTTGGCAGTAAAAACAGAATCATGAGGGTGCCAGTCTCACCTCTTTAGGAAGAGAGTGCCAAAGATGAGGTATGACAACAGAAGTCCCCCCCCCCTTTTTTTTGGCAAATCCTCCCTCACAAGATATTAAAACTGAGATCTGGAAAGGCAGCAATGAAAGAATTCAATCAAGTGTAAGGATGTTTCACTGGAGACCAAGCCCACTCTGAGTGGGTGTGAAAGCTAGACTGAAGAAAGCAGACAGAGAAAATGTTCAAAGCAGTGCACTGCAGGAAAGTTTTGCAAATGCCCTGGACTGAGAGAAGGGCAAGTGTGTCCTTTATGGCAATCAAGTCATCTCCTTGTAAGAAAAAAATGCAGAAAATGAGGTTGTCTTGACTTCTCACTGTAAAAGACAATAATACTAGAGAAAAACACAGGGAGATGTAATCAGAGTTGAGAATGATCAGTTCCATAAAGGGAACCACAGCCTTGAGTTTACAAGAGCTGAGCAAGGCTGTCAAAATTCAGGACATTTCAGAGGGCATTCAAAGGGTTAAGGAAGAGATGACATGACAACACACAGCTGCAACAAATGTTTACCCAAGGTATCATCCAGGAGGATGTTACCTTGCTACTCTGTTCTGTCTTTGATACGTAAAACAGGCCTGTTTATTTGAGGGTAACACAAATGCAAAAATACAGGACAATACATCTCAAGAACAGCATAAATATAATTTCTCAAGTAGTCATATATGCAATAGTGAGTTGCTGTTTGCTGATTACAAACTCCGCATCATCTTCGAAACTCTAGTTCTAGAGTGCTCTTACTCATCTTCCTGATCCAGGAAGAAAGGAGAACAAGGAATAGATATGCATTCATGTGCAGCACTCTTCTGCTAATACATATTTAGGATTGAAAAAATGTTTCTATTTCAGCCTGTCTACTGCACTTTTTATTGCTTTTATATTAGTTGCTGTTTTCCAGCATGTTGGCTACATTACAGACCCAGTAATGTAAATTAAAAGCCAGTCTTGCTCTCAAGAATCAAGCAGGCTAAATGATGAACATGAATAAGTTAACCCCACCACACACACCTAGGTTATAAACTTAACACAAAATCTGCACTAGTGGGGGGTGGGGCTCTTCTAGCACTCTACAGAATAAGCCAAACCAGCCAGGAATGATGGGAGTTGCAGTTCAACATTTCTGGAGGGCACCAGTTTGAGGACGGTTTGCAAAAGCTCCTATTAAGGAGAGGCCATTACAAAACATTCTCAAAAGTGTCACGTTTAAATGGCAGATGCCCACACACCTATGTATACAGATGATAGATTTAAATCCCCTTTTTTCCTTAAAAGGAACTCAAAGCAATTTACATTATTCTCCTCCTCCTCCATCTTATCCCCACAACAACCCTTTGAGGTAGGTTGAGCTGAGAGTCTGCGATTGGCCCCAAGCCACCCAATGGGGTCCATGGCTGAGCAGGAACTGGAACCCAGGTCGTCTGAGTCCCAGTCCTATGGTCTTAAGCAAACCACCACGCTGGCTCTCCCCACGAATCCAAGCATATTGGGAGGAATTGTAAACTGTGGGGTCAAATGAAATGGCGCAGGCACAATATAGCACATTTATTTTATCATCGGGATTGGAACTCCCGATAAAACAAGAAGTTTAGTTCGTTATTTAACACGAATAGTTCTTACGCATAAGAGCCTTCCAAACAAGCTCGAGCTCAGGAACGTCCCATTCGAGAGGCGGAGCGTGGGTGCCCCTCCCTTCACGTCGCCCTAGCAGCCGCCAGCGGCCCTCTTCAGGCACCATCTCACCCCTCAAGAAAAAGCCTCCCACAACACGGGCTAGAGAAATGGGGTCCCGCGCCTCACGTTCGTTTATTTCCCCCGCGGGTTACAAAGCTCCGCTTCCCCTCACACGGCGGGCAGAGCGAGGCGGCAGCAGGGGACGACCCTCCAAGCTCTCCGAAAGACGAGCGGGCGACCTTTTTCCTCAGGGAGCGGCGGGCGCCAGCGCCTCAGAGACCCCACCCCAGGCCACGCCACGCACCTGCCGCCCTTGGTCTCCTGAGCCGTGTTGTCCTCGGTAATCACCTGCGGCCGGATAGGTCGGCGCTGCCTCAGGCCCTCGGCCTCATTCATGTCGCCCGGTCCGCTCTTCGGCGTGACAGACCAGAACCGTGCTCGCCCGCCTCCGCAGCGCAGGCTCGCCGCACGACGCCACAACGCACCGCCTCCCGCAGCCCGCCCCCGGCACGGCGTCCGCAGAGCGCCGCCCACTCCCCCTCCCCCGCTCAACGGCCGCCCCAGAGCCGCGGCCCCGCCCCACCCGCCCAACGGCTGCCCCAAGGCCACGCCCCCGCCTGGCTTGCCCAACCGTCCCCGCAGTACAAGCGCGCCGCATTCTCTGCGCCCGCCCAACGGCTGACCCAGCGGAGGCACTCCCCCTCCCCTGTGCCCGCCCAACGGCAGCCCAACCGCCGCGCCAAGGGCACACCCCCACCCCGACCGGAGCCGTAGCCCAACCGGCACCACCCGGCACCTAGTCCGCGTCCGCGAAAGCCCATCCGCTGCCCAGAGCTTCAGAAACCCCACTCGGGCGACGGCCCAACCGCAGCCGCCAAGGAGCCACGCCCCCATCGCTCTTCAGGCGACGACGGGCAGGGCCACTCAGGGCTGCCGCCCTGGGTTCGTCTTTTACTGAACTCCCTACATCGTGACAGATTACTCTTCCCACCCGTCGTCTAACTCCCCCTCCGTCTTTCCTTCCCGCAAAACATCTCTGAACCGAGCCTTCACCCAACAGGCGTATTTAAAGGCCACGCCCGCGCTGTTGCGTCACTCCTTTGTTCCTCGTTGCCCAATTAGAATTTAGCTTTGCTTAAGGGGCGGAGCCAAGAGAAGGTTCCTTTCGCAAAAGAGCGTTTCGACTTTTTTCCTATTAAAGGAATTACTCTAGAGGAAAGAGGCATCGGGTGGAGGTTACAGCAAGACGCTGATGAGCTCGAATTCATCTACAGGCTTGACTTGAAAGAGAGGGTTTTTTGTCGATCACACTGCCTGCATAAATTGGCCTACCTTGGTGTCAGTACTCGCATTATAAATGGCTGCTGCTAATAATGTGACTGCCAATTACTGCATAGAACTGCCTCTGTGTTTACATTTCCCTCTCCTCTTAGGTAGGATATATAAAATCAAACTCTATAATGCTTCATGAATCTGATAAAGTGGGCTGAAATCTACAAATGTGTGTATTAGGAAAAACCTCTTTAGAGTGCAGTGCTCTGCATGTTTAGACAAAAAAACAAGTTTCACAATTGCTAAGGTGTCCCTGCCAGTCTGGTGTTGTAGCACTCTTTTCTGTCTAAGCATACATAGAATTATACCCTTTGTCAGAATTGCCAGAAAACTTATTTTTAAGTTGCCAAGTGGTGCCAGGTATTGCAATGGTCTGGGACTTGCATCCACAGAATGAACAGCACCCCAGACGCAAATGTGCATATGCTACTTTATTTTCATTTTTGTACTGTCCCGCACTCAAAGCTCTCTGGGGGGGTTACAAACAGTCAATAGAAATAAAATACAATAAAGTTTTCATTCAAAAAGCATTAAAAGTTTAAAACAAAAAATGGACAGTACAAAAATGGACTGCAAAACACCACCTCAAGCCCTGGGAGGCAAAGTAGATCTTTAAAGGCCTCAGAAAGGAGAGCCAGCCTAACCTGGCAGCAAAAAGTTGGCAAATTTGGACTCAGCCCGTCTGCAGTGCAGAGGTTGTTCCATAGACGGAGAGCCACCAGAAGGAAAGCCCTCCCCTTTGATGCCACCCCCATGCTTCCCACAGAGTCCGTGCTCTGGAGAAGGTCCCAGAGGCTGAGCATAGTGTCCGAGTAGATCCCAGTTGGGAGAAGCACTCCTAAGTCCTAAGTATTGCAGTCCTAAGCCGTTGTAAGGCTCTAGGTTAAAGCCAGCACCTTGAATTTGGGACCAGAAGCACTGTAGACTTTTATCAGTTCCAGACTCATAGACCTTTCACCTACATGTCATAGCTTAAAATCCACAGCACACTTATGATTGTTCATAACTTCCACCGGATCTAGTGGTGCTTACTTCTAAGAAAGTCTACATAAGATTGCCACCCATGGCAATTTGTTGGGACTGGGGGTTTCCAAGCTACAGACAAAATGTAGTTGCAGTAAGAGAGATTTCAGCTTTCAAGATGTACTTCATGCTAACCACTAGATGGCACTAGTTCTCTCTATTGGTAAGCTAAGCCCCTAGCCAAAAGCCATTCAGCAGTTCCTTTGACTATATTGGGCAAGAATGCAGGAATTTCTAGCGGAGGCCTTCCCTTTCTTTAGGAACCGGGTCTTCCGCAAGGCAGTTGTAATTTTCTGTAGAGGCTTTCTCCTTACCTGGGAACTCCTTGTTCTGTCAGGGGTAGCTCTTTTAGTCTCCCTTTTCTCTCAATCACCTTTCCTCAAGCCCTACTCACAGCTGGCGGAGGTTCCCAGGCAATTTACCTCAGCACAAAGACCAAGGGAGAGCTCTCTATTACCGGTTGTCCACCTGTCTGAAAAGAGGTTCTTTGTGGGAGAAGGCTGAAGAATTTTTGAGGCAAAATTTGGCTTTAGTCCACTCAGGTGCCTCATGTTGGGCACCAGAAGCTGCTACCGGCCTCAGCCAGTCAGTGGCCAGGGCAAACCTCAGGTGGACCCCAGTCCCCAAGCCAAATGGAGCCTGAGATGAGACTTAGAGCCAAAAACAGATTCTTTCTAGTGCACTTTAGAATAAACAGAGACATAGGGGGAGATGCTTTCTCAAATCAGAGTCTCAAAAGAAGCACAGGGAACATACATTATATACCAGTGATGGCGAACCTTTTAACCCCAAAACCCACTTATTTATTGCAAAGTGCCAACACTACAATGAAACCTGAATATTGAGGTTTTAGTTTTCATAAATTCTTCACAAACAACTAAATATGATGCTGCAGATTCAAATATGCCAGGGGGATACCACAACATTAAAAGAATCTTGGTCTCTTAATTAGAACATCTCTTTGCTAAACATCTCTTAGATATTAAGGGAACATCTCTTAGATGTTAAATTTCAATTTTTCATAAGAAAACTCAGAGCTAAAATGTTGTGTTAATAAAAATGAATGTATTAAAATTCACAGCCAGGCCAAGTAAATATATATATATCCTTGGCAGCGCACTGACCAACCATGCGAAAGCTCGGATGAGTCACTGCTAATGAGTCGCAGCTCATGACATCATCGCCTGGCGCTGCTACTCCTTTCTGAGCATGCGCATGGCCCCTATGTGCACTGTTATCCAATGCTCGGCTGCTGGGGCGATGGAGGGGTGACTTGGCTCATGTGCCGACAGAGAGGGCTCTGCGTGCCTGCTGGTTCGTCACTACTGTTATATACCCTATATCACAAGCATGATGTCCAGATACAAAGTTGATACATTCACATATTGTTGACTGTTCCTTCTGTTAGTTTACAGAAAAACTCTTTATTCTTCCAAGAACGTCCCTTCCCATATATCCACTAATAATCTCCAAACCACTCACACCTGCCTCGTCTTTCTGCACCTACTGTAATTCATAATGTATTTTGCTACTTTTATTGAGATTCAAGGCAGTTTCAGGCGCTGTGGGTTCTTCCCGTGTGCCTCCTTTGAGATTCAGCCGGCTTGCCAGAGGAGTTCACACAGAGTCCATCACTCTCCTGTCTCCCCGCCTCCCTCCTGGCAGGAAATGTAACATGGCTGCGGCTCTCCAGCGATTTGGTCTTCCTCAGGCTAACCTGTGTCGGGGTGAAAAGGAAGCATCATTGGTAACAGTGGCCTATTCTGCTTCCAAGCAAATGTACAGGAGCCCTTTCCTGTGTTTTCATGCTCTTTGTGGATTTTGCCAGAATTTACACATTTCAAAAAGAATATAAGTTCGTTCTCCAAACTTACCACATACCCCACCAAAATAATTCTACTCCCATCACACATCTCTAGCTTCTGAAAAATGTGCAAAGTCTAGCCAATATGCTAAGTATGGTATTTTAATATTTCTGCTTAGTCAGGTGCAACAACTTGAGTCAGAATAGGTTTCTAGTGTAAAATATTTTACAGGAGCCCCCCCCCGTATCAAATTGTTTGATTTATGTATAATGAATCAGTCAAAGGTATTACAGATTTTTGTACACACCATGTGAAAAATATGAGACACTTGAATGAAAATTTTCATGACCATATTCCCAATTCCAGTATTTTTAAGGCAATTTGGTAAATGATCAGAAGTTTGCCACTATGATCATAAAAGTATCAAATGAGTGCAAGGACATGCATTAATGATCATGATATCCTAGGATACTACATTCAAGATCTGGGGCCTGCCTGATTCCTACCTCCCAGAAAGGCTTGGTTGTGATGTTATGTTTTATACATTATATTATGGAGAGCCTCACCTGTCCTCTCCCCCCGCCCCACATCTGCAGGGTTTTTCCTTTCTAGTTCCTTCTCCAGGAAAAGGAGTTATATGATTGGTTCACCACAATGCTATAAGCTTTCTTTGCAATGTAAAAATACTTGATCAGCTCATGCTTTGTCTTAAGAAATTTTATATCTCTGATTGAAACCTGAATCATTGAAACCTGTTAGCAAATAAAAAAAATCAGGAGTTAAAAAATTCTATCTGTTACTCATCGTCAATGTGTCATGATGTTTTGCCTGAAGTTTATAATGATTTCTCAATGTTTCTGTATTATGATTATGTGGTTCCCCATTATTCTTGCCTTCTCACCCATTCAGAATCTCATTCTCCACCCTGCCCTGTGTATGTGACCTATTCCTTATAAAAACCTTGTGTATGCTCTGGAGTATTGGTAGTCAGTTCTGCATACTGATTACACGTCAGTGCTGTTGTTTTTTCCCCCTCTCTTCCAGAGAAGGGTCTCCTGGCAATTCCCAATAAACTGATGAGACTGAGTGTAATGCTTCTGTGCAAATCCAAACATTCATTCTCTCCAGTCCTGAAGAGAGATTTCCTGACAGTGATAACCAGGGCCTTCCTTCTCAGTGGCAGCCCCTCAATTATGAAATACATTCGTGACTGAGGCCTGCCTGGTTAAGTCTGACTTCTAAGACAAACCTAAATACTATATTGAGACATTATGTCCACAGTCTAACAGGTCTTATGTACTTAATGTATGTTTGTTATAGTTATTACTCTCTAGTAATAACTATATTAAATCCAGTTCTTGAATTTTGTTGCACAATTTTATATGTTATTATTTGCATTTTTATATTGTATTTTTACTGTATTTCACATGATGCGGTAAACAACCCAGAGAGCTTTGGCTATTGAACAGTACAGAATTGCAATAAACAAACAAATACATCTGTGCAGGTACTACAGATCATTTTAAAAAGTATCTGTAAACTGTCTGATACAGATACTTTACATCTACAAAAAACAACACAGCCTTTAAAACAATATTTGGGTTCAATTGAACTGGGATGACCAGAAGCCTCTAAACTTGAAGGATTCATTTTCATCCAGTGCAGAGTGGAAGGAGGAGAAGAGGTTATCTTTACCCCTCCCAGTAGGCATTTCTACTAGGCAGTTATTCCCATTTCAGACAGGGAGAGGAGGAGGCTAGAGTGGCTTCAGATACCTCGTATTGGAGATATGATGCCTTGCAGCCTGAACTTTCCAGTCCCTCCTCTTCCGGACTCCCTGAAACACTCTCTTTACCCCCTCTTCGAGGTCACTTTTCCAGCCCTGGGGAACAGACAGCATGGTTCTTGTGCCAGTTGCAAGAGAGCTGCTCCAAAGGCCAGCTCGCCTGAAAAAGAATCAGCATGGCTTCCACAAGGGGAAGTCCTGTCTCACTAACTTGTTGGAGTTCTGTGAGAGTAAGTGTGTAGATAGGACCAATTCAGCAGTTATTGTTTACTTGGATTTCCAAAAGGCTTTTGACAAAGTCTCTCACCAAAGCTCCTGAGCAAACTGAACAGACATGGAATAAAAGGGGAAGACCTCTTATGGTTTGCTAATTGTTAAGAAGGGGATTGTAGGGTAGGATGGGCAGCTTGATGGAAATGTTCGCCAGTGCACAGCTGCTGTGAAAAACGCAAACCCCACATTAGTCATAATTAGTAATAGAACAGAAAATAGAACTGCCAAGATCTTATTCCTCTTATACACATATTTTGTGCAACTGTACTTAGAATACTGTGTTCAGTTCTGATTGACTCCCCTGGAAAAATGACATTATTGAGTTGGAGAAACTACAGAGAAGGGCAACAAAAATTATCAGAGGGCTGGAGCAAATTTCCTATGATGAGCAGCTACAATTGGAACTGTTGCTTAGAACAAAGGCTAGTCAGGGAAGACAAGATAAAGGTGTTTAAAATAATACAAGTTGTGGATAAAAGAGAGGACATTTTTCTCCCTCTTCCATAACACTCAAACCCAGGCCATCCCATTAAGCTTATTAGTGGAAGGTTTAGGACAGATAAAAGGAAGTACTTCTTCACACAATGTATAGTAAAACCATGGAATTTAGTGTCACAGGAAGTGGTAATGGATGGCTTTAAGAGGGGAAGGGACAGATTAATGGAGGAGGAGGCTGTCAGTAGCTACTAGCCTTGCTGACTCTGTGTTACCTCCTGTGCTGGAGGTAGCATGCCTGCATTCACCAATTGTTGAGGAGCTTGGGCAATTGGAGGCCTTGCACTTATCCTACTAGAGGGATCCTGTGGGCAGCTGGTTTTCTACTGTGTGTACGAAATGCTGGACTAGATAGAACTTTGTTCTTCGCTAATATGGCATTTCTTTCTGTGTACCTCACACCTGGGAATCCAAACTATCGTATTTCTCCTCCCAACATGATGTCCAGGCCATATGAACACTCAATACAATTATCATTCAGGTGAGCATCAAATCACTACTAGCTTGCATGTACTAAAGAAGTTTAGTACAAAAGAGCAGTCTGATGTCAAAGACCAATGCAGGTTTAGTAAGATATATTTATCCTATAGTTTTTAACATTTAGCATGTTTGGGGAACAAAATTATTGAATGCTTTAGAAAAGTTTTCATTCTACACTTAACTTGATACTTTTAGCATATTCATATTTCCACATTCTTTTGTAGCCAAGGCAGGCAGCGGAAGTAGCAAGAGACTGGTTTCCCACATCACAAAATTAAGAAGGGAAAGAATGAATCAGCTGCATTGCTCCATACTTTGTTCGGTGTCCCCCCCACCCCCATTTAGGGAATTTATTTGAGATAAAATATTTTGCAATGAGTATAACAAAATACTTAAAACAGCAGATGGAAATAATTAAAAGGCCTTGGAAGGGAGTTTTGGCCGATGCCTAAAAGGGTAATAGAGTAGCAGGTTTCTTCAAGCAAGTTCCACAAGTTGGGTGCTACAGGCAAATATACCCCTTCAATGGCCATCACCCACCTCGCCTTTAACAGCAAGGGACCCTAAGGCAAGCATAGATAGATTCTACAGAGATGAGTATTCTTCTAGGTACCTGGGACTTAAGATGCAACCCTATGCATGTTTAAATAAACAAAAACAATGTACAAGTCCCATGCTGTAAGCTGTAAGACTTTGTCGCTCTAAACATGCAGAGGACTGAACCCTTAGGGCCTTAAAGTTCAACACTAACACCTTGAAGCATCCCAGAAAGAAACTGCAGTCCATGAAGTTCTTTTAACACCAGTAAAAGATGCTCCAAGAGCACTGCTGTAGATATGAGAAGGGCTGCAGGCATCTGGACAAGTTGAGAGCAGAGATTCTCAGCGCCACGCCTCAGGATGCATGCTTGTACTCCAATTTCAATACTCACCAAATAAGCGCATCAATTTTATAGGATACACATATATAAATTGTAGCTTTTTCCCTCAATATACATGAAAGTGCTGACTGGGAATTAAATTCTTATTCCTATGTACTTTGAAGAGGGAAAATCTAGTTTATTCATTTGTGCAGTTCTCAAAATTGACACAAAATCCATTTTATGCAGCTAAGTTCATATCTGGAAGGTCTGGTCAAATCTCTGATGTGTATCTCAGCAGCAGATACACATGAGCCTCCGAGTCTTCTGTACATCCTGTGCCTATTGCACACCTCCTGCTAGGTATCTTCTCTAGACAGTCTTTTTCAACTTATATTCAGTGCCAGTGTGGGAAGGAGGCTGGAATGACAACTGCAATTGGGGAATGGCCTTGGTTCCAGTATCCTACCCTCCCTCCCCCCGCATTTCTCCTTTTCCCCTGACCTTGGAAGGAATTGACAGACATGGTTCCTGCAATAGGGTCCCATGAGGCTCATCTGTCCAAGTCCCAGTCTCAAGGTCACAGGACGTCCAAGCTGGAACTCTGAAGAATCCTATGTACAATTGTGCTGTAAATAGTGACACCTGAGTGCTTGCTCAAAGAATTTTTAAAGTATACTTTGTGGCCTATTTTGCATTCCTATTTTTAATATAGTATCACAAGACACCATTATTGCAGGATCATGACTGACGAGCTCATCTTTACAAAATGGACTAGCCAACCAGCCTCCCACTGAGCATACAGCAGTTGGCCTACTACACTGCTATTCTGAAGATTTTTATAAGCAACAAAGTGCTTTGGGGAGATGCAGCTGTGTCAGTCTGCTTAGGGAATGCAATCCATTTGCAAAATGTTTCCCCTCCCAGCTGCCTCCTCCTAAATCTGCTCCAGAACATGGCGAAAGGAGCCATTCTGTAGCAGATCTGGGGGTGCAAGAAGAGTCCTATGGTAGGAGGGGTAGTCTGCTCACATTACATCAGAAGACACCCACATGTCTCATTATCTAACAGAAGTAACTAGTGTATCTTCTAGCATTAGGTCTTTCCATGGAGTTATGAGTTATTGAACTTGAGTTAGAATTGGTATTATTATATTTGTCAATATCTACTTATCTTTTCTGTGTGTGCACTGTTCATTTATTTAGTGTTTGCCTTTCTGCCAAGAAAATGGTACTCAGGGCAGCTTGCAATCATAAAACCTGATTAAAGCAGTCATTTGAAAAATTGCATTAAGGCACAATAAATGTACAGCAATGGAAGAATAAAATAACACCAAATCTGACAGTTTTACTGTAGATTTTACTAGCAACAGAAGATCTATTGTCCAGTAGGGGATGCTCTTGTTGTGTTTACACATGCTTAGGAACATTCCATTCCTGTTCAGTGAATGCATCCCCACAAATGCATTGAATTTTGGAGTATATACGCACTGAACACATAAAATGTGGACCAGGTCTACGTTCCTGCTCTTATCCACCCATTTCTAGCAATGAGAAATGTGTTCTTGATTCACAGGGTTACAAATCAATCTTGACATTATTTCCTACAACACTGAAAGTATATTATGAAATCAGCCAGATGATCTGTATCACTCCAGCACTGCATTTAACCAGGCAATGTTAAACAACCGGCAAGATCATCACTTGGTGTTCAGGAATCTCAGAGGATGAGGACCTACATCCTGTATAGGTAAAAAAAAGGCAGGATCCAGAACCAAAATAGATCATTAACACATGGGTGGTACAGGAACTCAATTTAACCATATTTGTGAAGCTCTCATGTGCTGAAGAATCAGTCTCCCTTCTCCCTTCAGTTCCATCATGTGTTGAGTATGAAAGGAATTTATTTGCCTTAAAAACTAAGTGATTGTGTTGGCTTGATTTCAAGATACTGAAATGGCACAGTGTTTTAGTCTGAGTGGGTAGGGACTGAAATCAGTATATCTTTTCTGAGTAACTACACATGTTCAGACTTGCTTCATATTTCAGACAGGCAAAATATGTGCACGCACACACACACATAAAAGGTACACACATGTAGTCATCTTTACTAAAGAATATATTTATTTCCATTATTCCTAACTTAAATTCACTTTCATGAAAAAGGATATGAGCAAGAACTGATTCTATTTCAAATGTCCTGAGCACTTCTATCTATCTGTCTATCTATCTATTTTATATCCTATCTTTTTTCCTGACAAGGAACTGAAGGAAGCTTACAATATTCCTCCTCCTCAATTTTATCCTCACAACAACCCTGTGAGGTAGGTTAGACTGAGAGCCTGGGATTAGTCACCCAGTGAACTCCATGACTGAATGTGGACATCCCAGATCCTAAGTCCAACATTCTAACCACTATACCACACTATCTCTCCATTGCCAAAGAATGCAGTATTCAGAGAAATCAGTTCCTCATTAAGGTGCCAGCACATCCTGGTTGTGTGACTTCTCTTATATTTTTCTTTTCACACTGCAACATGCTTTATCTTCAATCCCAAAATAATATTGGTTTTTCACTTATCATAAAGCAACCCACACAGGAAAGAAGTACAACTGAATTATGAGTTGGACAAAAATGATAACCCAAATAAGCTGATCAAGGCACTTCTATTTGTTTAGAGAGTAATAAAAACTCATCCTGCTGGTCCATTGGGCCAATTCAGGCACATTTCTAGCCTGAAGTAAGAAGTATTTACAGTATCTTAAAGGAGAGGACAGAACTCTCTTATATAAAAATAAGCTATTTTTGCCAAGTGAAAAAATGAATAGTCAATGCAACTTTACAGCAATCTTCCTGCCTTCTCCTACTTGATGTATTAAAAACTTCATGTTCATACTTACTATAATATGATATGTTACTAAAAAGGAATCATACATGTTCAAAAGCATTGGCTAAGCAAAAGCTTAAAATTTAGAAGAATGCTTTTTCTTACTGTTCCTTCAAAACTGAGGAAGTTTTGAAGTATCTGTATTTGTGCAATTACATATGCAAAGGAATTCAAGCACTCAGTGAGCATGGACATTTGGAATGATTTTCCCAAGACAAAGCCCAAAATGGTGCTTCTTATTTTGTGAGGCACAGATATGAGACATAGTTTCCATACTCTGTGCCTTTTAAGGTCTTTAAGGCAGAAAGTCTCTAAAACAGTAGAATCAAAGCTATGTGTTCGATAGTTTCAGAAAAAAAGAAAAACATAGTGAAGGACAGAGAAACAGACAAAACAATATTAATAGACAGAAATTTTTGGAGTAGAATCTTCTGCTCCTCACATGACTAAGTTAAGCAGAATTATCTGACAGAGCATGAGTAGACTTGATGATCCCATTTGATCCTTGAGGTTTCTTCTGAAGTTCTGGAACCTCCAGAGCTTCCAATTACAAGGTAGGGTGCTTAATTTTGTACTGCTTGTAAGCATCCAGGATTTCTGTGATGACGCTGGGATCATCCAGTGTTGTGATGTCTCCCATGTCACTAACACTGCCTGTCACTATTGTCCGCAGCAACCTCCTCATGATTTTTCCTGAACGGGTTTTGGGAAGTCGCTTCACGATCTGTTTGTAAAGAAAAAAAAATGGAAATCTATTTTTACTACTAATCACAACCACCTTAAATCAAGCCAGAATTCTACAATTGTGAGACAGTGGCTGGGTTCAGTTAACAGGAAATTATGTTTTATCATTGCAAAAATCTCAAGGGAGACAAGTTTACAGCTTCCTTTCATAGTTTGGAACAAACTACAGTTTCCTTATGTTCAAGCACCAGAAACTGTACTTTGGTTAAATCACAGGTAAAGTGGGGGACATGCAACAAAACGCTGCAGTATGCAGTGCTTCTGTTCAGCACTCCAGCCGTGCTATTTCCTGTCCCTCCCCGCTGGTCTACCTCACCCCTCCACACTCCCACAACCGTCAGCATTCCACACCCACTGAATGATTCAGGAGATTCTATTTCTGAAGGTTTCTGCAATGAGCATACTATTGCACAACCCCACATACATTAGCATCTTGAATAGCTCTCAGGATCTCTGGGGACATTCAAAAACAGCTTCTTACAGCTTTCCCCTCTCATGTCTTTCAGAATAAATGAAGGAAATAGCTATGCTCCACCATGTCCAAGCATTCAGAACACGTCAGAAGAGCCTCTATATAGATGTAAAGAGCATCTTTGCATGGGGAGGGCAACAGATTTGGTCAAGGTATCCCACATGGAGGTCTGCATACATGTAACTGAGAAGCAGACAAAACCTCTTCTAGTGTGCTGCAAAGGCAGCAGGACCACCACCACCACCACCCCACACAACATACGTTTTCAACATGTACAGAGAGAACATCACTAGAGTGAACCATGAAACTACTTTTCTAGAAATTGGAAGTGTTATCTCAACCCCTTTTATTGCTTTTCTTTTATAGTTGGCACAGTGCTTTATAACCTTCAACACAGGGATAATTAATTTCACTTGCTTTCCAGTTGCATTAGTTGTATGGTGTTGCTTTTTAATAAATCGTTTCACTCTAAATAAAACAGGAAACAGCAACGCTCTCTCTTGCTTTTTGCTATCACTCTTTGAGGATTAGGGAAATGTGAGGTTGACACACTAGTGTCCAATTCCAGCAACATTCAAATCTTGGGTTTCTTCTTGGGTTTTTATGGCAACCTGTCCCTTCTATCCCTGGAAATGTTTTAAAAATAGCTTTTCACAGTAAGCGCTGGGGATTAACCTATCCAAGTCATACAATGAATAATAATATCCTTATCACTCAAAATAAAACTCAAATAAAGATCAGTACAAAATCTACAAAAATGTTCAAGAATAGAATCATTTATAAAAAGAATACAACTGAATATATAAAAATTCAGGTACATATTTAAGACAAACAAATCCAATTAACTTACATTTTTTAGAGAGCTACTTAATAAAAAATGAATTTTAGGTGAGCCACCTTGTGTAGCACTGCAGAAATTTTCCCAGTATAGGTCCAAAAGAATATTAGTAAATGCAGGTAGTACAAGCTTCTCTACAGATGACCAGATACTAATCTGGTGAGTCTTAGACCTGAGGGCACTTAAGTAAAGCAAAGGATTCCATGACCAACAAACATGCAAATTACTATTTTTCCCAAAGTTTTTTGTATTTCTGTAAACGTCCTACCCCCACCACAAGTCTGCTGACACCTTCCTATTGTACGTGGCTCTTGCTCTGTAAATGTGGGTTCTCCTCCTGAAAACTGTATATAAAGAACTAGGATTAAACTGTACTGTAGTTTCTGACCTTGGTCTGAATGTTCCAGGAATATTTTTTGATAAGATACTTCTTCAGCATATCATGTCGAAAGCTCTACATGCCCATTAGCATTCATGAATCATAATGGCTTGGTTTGTTTACTTTGCTGTTTCAGGAAACTTAAGGTTATCATTCCCCTGAACAGCATCTTCTTTGGCAAGTAGTTTTATCAAAGCACTTTTGTATCTTGGAATGAGTGCAAAGCTCTCTCCCATTTTTGTTCTCCAGCATTAAATACTGAGAGGCACACTGCCTCCAATACCAGGGGCAGCACATAGCTATCAAGATGAATGGCTGTTCATGAGAGGTGGCACAGGTCTAATAAAGGGCAGCCATGCCCAAGTATCCAGGCGCCCATTGTACTGTAAGGGGAACTCTGACCGAGTTGGTAATGAGAGAGTGCAGTGGTGTTGCGACAGAGGAGGGCAGTTCGAAGGTTATCAGCCTTATCTGGATCGTGAACATTCTCTGTGACTCCCTCAAATTAAGGCAACTGCAGTCTAAGGAACATGGCTTGAGTTATTGACTTCATGATACTGGCTGCAAAGAAACAAGTTTTACAACATTGCCAAACCCATTTTAGTCAATAACAGTTCTCACCACTCTACAAGACATGTCCCCATTTCACTGATGATGAAGACAGTGAAAAACAGTATGAAGTCCCTTGACCAATTCAAGTGACAGGTAAAGCCAGACTGAGAGAAGTACAATTAATGTCTGTGCTTCTCTGTATAATTAATTGTCCCCAGTGCCCTTTACACAGTAAACTGACTGTGTAGCTTGAAGAGACCACAATGTTATTAAAGGTAAATGGTTTTATAACTGTATAAATTTTGCCTTATTTCTGAAGAACTTACCAGGATGTGATCAGGCACAGCATACTTGGCTATCTTGGAGGCAACTATTGCTCTGAGCTCTTTGGTAACTATTTCTGGATTTACCATGTCATCTTTTAGCACAATGAAAGCAAATGCAACTGTAATAAAAGACCAGAATTCATCTACTAGCCATTAAAAAACTTTTCAACATGCATGGAGAACTTTTCCTCTTAATATTAGACCAGGTTGAATAATCTATTATTCAATGCAATAAGGGTAACTATATGGCCTGAAAGTTTTTAGTTCTAAAGTATTTTCACAAAAATGCTAAAAATTTTTGTTTTGATTAATGTTGCTTTTTCATTGTTCTTAAAATTATACAACAGCCAAAGAACCTTAGCTTGATTCAATGTTATGTATTCCAAGGTAAACGTGTATAGCTTTGAGGCCAAGCAACACTGGCACACTTCCACACAATGAAATAAATTAAGTAGGAACCCCCCCCCCTTTATTCCTTATTTTACAGAACTGATCAGACAGTTGTCTTAGACAGCTAAGATAACACCTGGAATGAAATTTATTCATTTCTTCCTCCTTTAACTACATTTCCAAGCCTGGACCTTAAAAAGACAATTATGTTTAATTTTAAACATACAATTAAGTATTTGAATAAATACTGTAACATATTTCATTCACTTACCCTCCCCTTTGATATCATGGGGAAAACTAATCACAGCTGTTTCAGGTACTGCAGGATGTTCATCCTTAAAAAAAAAAGATATGAATTAGGGAGCAGAGCAAGCTATTCATTTACACTAGCTTAACTTTATGCCTTCTTTTAAAATTTGTATAAATAAGTACAAATTTTAATCATGTTTTTCATACATATATGACTATATGCCACATGAACCTAGTTCATGTAAATTACAGGCGTGATAAGCCGGAATCACGATGGAATCACTTCAAGGAGCAAGTGAAGGGTCATGTGAAAGACCGTTTTTTGCCTTCACATGCAGTCTGATATAGTATGGAGAGGGGCAGGATTGCCACTTCCTCCTTTTAGAAAACTAGTTCTTGATCTTATATCACTTAATGTCCATGGACCAAATATGTGCACTGTCTCAATTGTAAGCATTGTGTCTGAGTTGACAAAGAATGACAGAAGTTCCACCTGCAGCGACAATCCATGAGGGCTCATTCATACATACAAGTCATCACTCAAAGGCACAATGAAAGCATAAATGAATATCCCTCTGCAGACCAGCCCTAAAACCAAAACTTTACATATCATGTTGCTTTTTGACAATTATAAACAAATCCGCTTACATGTGAGTGAATTATTGGCACCCACACTTTTCCTTCCCCCAGTAAATACCATGGCATTTTCAATCTCTGCAGTTCCAAGTCTGTGCCCACTGATGTTTAGGACGTCGTCCATTCGCCCTGTTATCTGGTAATAGCCTTCTTTAGTTCTATAAGCACCATCTCCTGTGAAATAATATCCTGCAGCAACAAACAGACTTAGTGCTAGTGAGTATTGATGAAAACATCTGTTAAGATCTCTCCATTCTTGACACACTTGATGCTCTTAATTTCAGAACTGCACATTACTCCTGTGAGGAAATTATTAACTCTGTGTACGCTGCACATAAGTTAGAACTCATCGGTAATTATAACTCTGTTAGTAATAACAGTGGGTGAAAATGACCATGAGGTTACAGCACCCACGACATTGTAAAAATATATGCATCCAATAGTATGAGGATAGTAAACTAACGTATTTAGTATTTGAGTACATGGAATTGGAAGGAGTCAGGATCTGAAAACACCAACTCTGAATAGTCTCTGTGCCACCACAGCTGCTTGCCAGTTGGGGGAGCTCCTGGACTGTACTCCCTGTTGCAGTTCAGTGCCATCTCTGCAGATAGCCATAGGATGCTACTTGACAGGGGTCAGATCAGATGGCAGAAGTGTCAAGAGTCTTTGGGAAAGGCCTGCATACTGTTTTGTAGGAAGACATGAAATAATCTGATTTCCTCATAGCCAGTAAAAGTCCAATAAAATGGTGATGCCTGTGATAATAGTGAGGGAGAAAGACATGGTGGGAAAGTAATGCAAATAAATTAACAGAAGTATGGGTTGTAAATCAAGGGACAGTCTTGGCCAAAAGCATCCGCACTTGACCTTAGCCTGGTCTTCACATAGTGAACAATAGTTTTTAGCAGTTTTTCTAATGCTGCTTCCATGCCAGACTGTGCTATGAGATCAGCAGCAGCTTTGGTGGTGTCTCTTTCAGGTCTCTTCTCATTATGTTTATAGATCAGCCTTCCCAAACTAAGTGCCCTTGTATTGGACTACAATCCCTGTGCTGGCTGAAGAGGACACGAATTGTAGCCCAACACATATGAAAGGCAATGGGTTAGAAAAGGATGATACAGATCGTTACTATATTCATCAATCTACTGCAATGGGGTATTAGCTCCAGTGCTAGCAGATTTCTTTAATTATGTTTTGCAGTCTTGAAATTGAAGTGCTACACATATGTAAGCACACACTTTCCACCCACTTGGTTTCTGCTCTAGCATCCAGGTCCATTTTCTATCAAATCAGCAGAGATGTTTTAAAATATTCATAGTTTTTATATACACATTTGTTTAATGACTAGTGCAGGTTGCTGGATCCAGCTTTTCTTAGCAGAGAACTTGGTGGTACAGAATTGTGTTAGTTTATGTGCAGAGAACAGAAACCATAACTGTACAAAATGCTGCTGTCAAATGGAGAAAGTTAGCCACATACTGCAACAACATTTCTTTCATCATTCTCACCTGGGTAAGTTTTGAAATAAGCATCTACAAATCTCTGATGATCTCCATAGATAGTCCGTGCTATGCCTGGCCAGGGTTGTGCAATGCAGAGGGCACCAGACACATTATTGCCTTCTATTTTTTCTCCCTAAGAGTCCAAGTAACAAAGAGACTGTCAACATGTTCGGGAACCAGGCATGTGAGAACAAAAGCCTAAGTGCACTTTCTGTTGACCCCATAGCCAGCAAGAGGATTTCTGCTTCTGATTAGAATCCAACTACTTGCCAGAACCAATATATGATGTGGAACAACATGTCCCCAATATGAAGAAAGTAGCCTTTAAAAAGTATGCAATTTAAAACCATTTTAAAAAGAAAAAATATAGTCACTTGAAACATCATACTATATCATTTCCTTAGCTTTGAGAGCAAGCAATCAGCTCCCTCCCTCCCAGGATGCTTTAGCATGAAAGCACCCTGTCCATTGAGGAATCTTTATCAGGGATCAGAAACATCTTCATGTCGCCTTTCCATTATTTTCCCACCATTCTTCCATCTGTTTTCTTTAAAAACTCTCTCTCTCTCTCTCTCTCTCTCTCTCTCTCTCTCTCTCTCTCTCTTAAAGAGGAAAGATGGAACAACTGCACCACGTTTTTGTATTGTTGGCATTAGGGGCTGCCATCTGGGAGTGTCCTCTGTCCCTTTCCCAGCTCAACTTGCTTCCTTTGCTCCGTTCTACAGATGCCACAGGTAGACCTACTGTATATTACACCGTATTTGGCTGGGGAAGGAAGGGAAGGGTGTGCCCCCATTTAAAATAGTCCAGGACCATCCAGCTATTAAGAGCATCTACCAGCTACTTAGCTAGTAATCTCCCTAACAAATGGGCTTGGCTGACAATATAGTCAAGACTTTATTAATTGCTTTTAAAGGTTTTTTTAAAAATGCTTTTAGAACAGTGTCTCTGATAAATATCAAAACCCAGAATTTTACAAGTATCTCAACACACCTTCTCATTGATCAGAACTGGGGTGATCCCATAGAAAGGCCGCATTGCTATGGCTGGTATTATCTCAGCTCCTTTTTCTGAAGGCCGAGGAGCAATGCAAATGCCACCAGTTTCTGGAAGAATAATGAGGAAGGAAAGTCTATTGAAATTCATACATTCTCTGCTCTTCTCTAATTAAACAATCTATGTAGCTTCATTTTAGCACATAATTTACTGTTTATTACAAGAGTAGATGGATTATGCTCTAAGAAAATAAATAATTCACCTTTGCAAACAATTATCATATACAACAGACAATTCATGGGCAGAGGCATTTGCTTACTCTCTCGCTGAAAGATCCTCATGCTGTTACCCTAGAAGCCCAGCAATAAACTGCCCACAAAGAAAATCTGAAAGTGCTTTGTGTGTTAGGGAAGGAAACTTCATCCCAGAGCCCTCACTGTGGCTTTCAGGCTAAATTCCTGTCACCCTCAGTCTAATTTCAAAAGCCCTCTGCATGTAATCATGTCAGATTTATGGCTATATCTGTCTGTCATTCCCCTGGCAGCCTGTTGCATGGGAAGAAAGATACACAAAGAGAAAAAAAGTTGGTAGAAAAAGAGAACCATGGGGATGGTACAAAGAGAAAAGAAGCCACTCTTGATTTTGACTCTACCCACCACTAGCTTTGGTCCCACCCATCATGGATATGGAGCTCCTGAAAGATTACACAAAAGGGAATGCAGGTCCTTAACAGGACCCCCCCCCCCCCACACACACACACTTTCTTAGAGCCATCCATCTACCCACTCCTGTGATGGAGCATTCAATGGACACAAACATGACATGGTAGACTTTTAGAAAGCTCTCTTGCTGTCCCACAGTACCAAGACTATACAGGTGAGTTTACACCAGAATCATCAAGCAAGACTATGACCATATCAACTTACTCTCTATTTGCTGATTAAAATTGAGCTAATGTGCTTAACTAGACTCAATTCAGGCCAAATTCTTAGCATATAGAACAGTCTCCAGATAAGAATACAAGGAAATTCCTGGTTCTATTCCACCCTAGCCTATTCACCCTAACACACAGGCACCATGAAACTATCCAGAAAATATTCTACCCAATTTCATGCACTTAGCAAGTGATTTCCACAGCAATGATAGAAGTGCAAGGTTATTATGGAATGTGCTTCCTTGTGCTGTTTTCACAGCACTTCAACTGCTTTGCTGAAAAGCGGTTTATGAGACTAAAATACTATTATTGTATAGGATTAGATTCTCCCACCCATTATGGGCGTTCTGCGATTATTTTCAATTCAGGACTGAGCCTCTTAATCATTCTTTCCTCATTTCTATCAGGATAAATGTTAAATCAGATCAGAGATTTCAACCTTAATCAGATCTTTTATAGCCTAACACTAACATATACACAAAAAGAAGCAACAGTAATAAAATGAAAGAAATATTCATTCCTACAATAATAAAATCCATATCCCACAGTTGGCATAAATATATGTCATTCCTCCGATAGCAGCAGTTTGCACCAACTGAAGATCTACTAACAAATGTCTAATTTATTAGGACTCATATCAAAGGATTTTGCCTCTTGCTTGCCCTCTGAAGGCTGAAAAAGAAGAGGGAAGAGCTGCCCTAGTTGGCAAAAAATAGCAACCCTACATCTTTTTTCATTTCTAGAGATCAGGGCTCAAACATGGCTTATATGCTAATGGGAAAGTTATTTGGAATCCTCAGAGGTAATGGATGTTTGCCCTAATTACACATCAATGCAAAATATCTTAAAGCTATTGTTTCTGCTTATCGTCTACATGTACATTTAAGGCATTAACCCCTTTATCTTGTTTGTCCTCCTAACAATCCAGGAAAGCAGAAGATGCTACTCCTGTTACAGGACAGGAAATAGAGAGATGTCTCACGTGTCATAGTAAGGCAACATATCACAAGCACAGGGACATCTAACAGAAAAAGAGTGATGAATGTGTCCACTTCCAACATATGAGTGATGATTCAGGAATTGTTCTCCAAACTTTGTTCTTACATGCATCTTCTTTCAAAGGTGTGTGTGCATCTTAACACAAGGGTTCACACTTACTAGCTTTTAAACGTACACTTCAGAATTGGGTCTGAAGTACAATTTAAACCTGAAGACTTTTCTCTTTTTTATTAGATATTATTCTTAATGATTTTGATAAACAGGCTATATATTTGATCTTACATGTAATTACTGTGGTGAGGATTCTATTTGCTCATTACTGGAGGAGTGAAGAGCCACCCACCGAAGAGTTGATCTTAAAATGGATTTTGGACTGCACAGAAAGGGACAGATTGACCTTGCCTCTGAAGGAGAAGGAGGACGCATATCTCTACCAAACTTGGAACTCTTTTTATTATCAGTTAGAGAAACGGGACTATGTGTAGATTTGAATATGGCTACTGACTGTTAAAATGGGGAAGATGTTAACCTAGTATATCCAATGCCTTAAATAACGGTTGTTTTTGATGTTAGATTGTAGAGAAAAATAATAAAATTTATTTTAAAAAATTGGGTCTGAGGTACCAGTCACTAGTGGTTTGCCACCTTTTCCCCCCTGCCCCGCCCCCCCACAAAAGAATGCTGAGTAGGGCTGTCAAGCACAGGACACTTTGAAGGGCATTCATTCATGGGGTTGCCATAAGTTGGAGATGACTTGAGGGTACACAACAGCAACAATAGAGCAAATTATATTCTATCCTGTTCAACTGGCAATTGAAGAGGGCAGGAATATAATGAATGGGTGACAAGGATGGACACTCTGTACTCTTTTCTCTCACTTCTCAACTCAAAGAACCCTCTACTGAAGAAGCATTTCTTTTTTAAATGTGGAGTTATTCCTCAGCTGCATGCTGTTTCTCAATTACTTCAAACCCCATTACTTCAGAACTGGCAGAGTGGACCGGAATAAGGAGGTTCCAATCTCAAAAAGACAAGATGTTTCACTTGCAAAGGTTTAGGAACTTCCTGTCAGTTTTGTCACATAAGCAACATTTTCTGGCACTGCATTTTTTTCTTTTCTTTTGCCTAGATCTCCTTCATTCTGACATTTTCCTTATTTCTTTTTCTTGTATGCTGTTGATGTCACTCATATCTCATGAAATAATCTGGCAGAGCATACATTCTTATATGTTAATATAAGCCTTCCCTTATAAATCAATATCTAGATGGAAAAAGGACACAGAACATCTTTCTCCCAAATGTTACCTGTAAAAATACACATCGGATTTCATCCTTAACATTTTAATCAAAGATCCAGTGAGATATAAGAAAATAGAAATATCCTAATTCTCTATATTGTAAGCACGACATCCACAACCAGTGGGAAAAACAGGGCTTCAACCTGATGAAATAATTAAAATATTTTCTCCCAAAAATTTCACCAAGCTACTTCAAATCTTGCAAGTCCCTGGGTAAGTGCACATGACATGACAACCCACGATCTTCCTTTATGTAGCTGGCCATGCACACTTGCCAAAAATTCTGATCAACAAATCATAGTATTCTTTCTCAATCCTTGTCTTCGGCTTCTTGATTCCTCTAATACTATTCTAATATTCTCAGGAGTACTTAGTGTCTCAAAGTAAAATATCCTCTCAAATATCCTTAGATGGAACAGAGTGGCACCGTGCATGTCAACCAGCACATATGATAGCGACATGCATTGTATAATGTTTAGTTAGCCTCTAAATCTCAGTCATAAGGGTGGTGAATGGTCTTAGGTAAGCAACAGGAATATTAATACTTGCCTACTTTTACAGGCCATTATTAGAATTACAAAGGCTCACATGACATGTTAGAAAAATAGAGTGCTGCTTGTTTTCTGTTCTTATTTCACTCTAAAGAAGCATGGAGGAGGGGTGGCTGTTCCAGATTGGGACCACAGCGCACAGGGAAGGGAGATTTAATATTTCTCTTCTAGTTGCTGCCCTACCCAAACCATCCTAATGCAGCATTTAGCAGTGGTACAAAAGCCCCGCCAGTTAACTGCCACACAAGATGCCAGAGATGGGAAGAATTACAGTTCCCCTTCCTGTATGCTACAGTTCTGATCCGGGTCAGGTCCTCCTACTCTAGAGTCAGCAAAATATCAACAAAAATAAAAAGGGAACTGCTTGTTATCTACCTAATGTAGCATGTAATTTGAACCTGAGACAGCATACATGAAATGCATTGAATACTTGAAATGTGCCATGTATTACACCTGAATATCCATATTGCAGTCAGCATCTTATGCTAAGGACATTTTGCATGCATTTTCTGGGCACAGTGATGGTCTTTAATGTCTTGGACTTTGTTTATTGCCAATTACATATTAGCAGTTTTGTTTGGCTGGTTGTTTTTTCTCTTGTGTTTGGGGTATTCTGACATCAGTTTGAGACTAGGGTCATCTGAGAACCCTGTGCTCCCTCACAAGCCTACCAAGCTATGGAGGCCTCTTGCCTTCTTACGCAGAGCATGTCTTCTTGACTGTCATGCAGGAACTCTGGAGCTTCCCAGGGCTGCTGAACCAACTAATGTTGCTCTAGCACTAAGTGGAGACCTTGCTATTCCTCAAGTCCTTTTAGATTCTGTGTTTTTACATGCAGCCCTCCTAAAATAGGGGAGGGATGACAAGTGAATGTCAGAGCACCTGCTTTGCATAGAGAAGGTCCTAACTTTGCCCTGGCATGGCCAGTGAAAGGGTCAGGTAGCAGATGATGGGAAACATCCACTGCCTAAGACCCAGGATAGGTACAGCCAGTCAAAGGAGACCATATTGCGCTAGATGGATAAACAGACGGACTTAGTATAAGGCAAAGGGAAGAAATATTAAATTTGAAGAGTACGAGCACTATGATTTGAAGGTTCAAGGTTTACTGGAACATTAGGCTTAGGAACTATGTTACGACACAGAGCTTGATCACATTTTCTAAATATATTAACACAGAAGACTTACGGAATGAGCTCCCTTCCTGCACATGTGCGTGTGTATACACACGCGCACACACAAACACAAGCTCACTCTCATAATCTCCCTCTCACTTATCCACTCACCCAAATGCTTTCAAATGGATTCGTAAAGCCTGATTTGCTAATCTTTATGCCTGTTCAAGTTGATTATCTTGTGGCATACTGCTGCTTCACAGAGCAATGTTCCAGAAAGGATAAACAGCAATTAATGATCTATTTTTAAATTGATTGTGTGATGTGCAATTGAGCTAACAGTAAGGCAAATCAACTCACAAACCCTGTCCTCATAATTATCTCTATGAATTATTAGTAACACTATAGTTTTATCTACAGGAAATAATAAATTCTATAAGAATGCATATATTGGTTTTATATTTAATTGCTTTTAATCAATTATGATTTCCACTTTCCAACAACAGTAATTATGGAAAATGCATTCTGTCTTCAACTATTTTTGTTTAAACTAGATATACCAACATCACTGCTTTAGAAGTGGAACTGGAAAGACTAACTTCCAATGTATCTCTAGAACTTAACAGGTGAATGTCTGGAATAGGAGCCTTGTGCCGTTCCATCCACATGCAGGGAGTGTTGGGGCTGAGGCTGGGGAGATTATTTCAGGAAGATGGGAGAAAAGTGCCTGTTTCCTTTCCCACCTTTCTGGGGCCCTCCCCTGCTATGCTATATATAGTGTTGGAGAGCTCTGAGGTGAAAAGTGATAGCATTTTTATACTGTTCTTCAAATAAAAATGGTTTCCGGAGCAATACATCATACAAAAGCAAAAAGCACCATGGAGGAAGGAGGGAAACCCCCAAACATATCCAAGCACTATTTCTTAATTATAAGTTCTATAGCTATTGTATAGCTATATAGTGCTGGAGGAGCAGTATTGGAGAGTGCAAAAGGGAAAGAGTATTCTTTGCCCATTCCTTCCTCTTTAAACTTCACTCCATAGAACTCTTCAATCGCATGGCACACATATCTCTATCCCAGGGGTCCTCAAACTTTTTCAACAGGGGGCCAGTTGAAAGGTGCTGGTGGTGGGTACGAGCCGGCAAGGGGGTGCCAGCAGGGGGTGCGGGTCCAGGCAGTGAGGCAGGGGCGGGCGGGCACGTGCGGCGAGGCAGCAGCTTGCTCGCACAGAGATCGTTTTCTCCGAGTGAGTCCAAAACAATCTCCGCCCGAGCAAGCTGCCGCCGGGCGCACGTATGTGCGGCAAGTCTAAAACCTCTGAGACGGGCTGGATAAATGGGCATGGCGAGCCGAATCCCGCAGGCCATAATTTGAGGAAACATGCTCCATCCTAATCTTCCTCCAGGGAGATGTTAGGTGGTCTGACCTGAGAGAATTTCCTCTACTCCCCTCCTACTTATAGCATACCATGCATCCTGGAAGCAGAGAGATCCTTCCTAAAATCCTTGTCTTGAGATTTTAATCCATTTAAAATGCCTTTATTAATTTATATATTTGCATGCTTCTGCATACCTCGGGAGTCCCCACATATATAGAAACCACTACTTTAATTTTGGGTTGTCCCATTTTGTTTTCAAACTGATGGGTACTCAGCTACCTGACCTCACTATTGGTTGGACCTGCAACAAAATGTTGGAGAGGTGTACACTTCATGGTTCTAAAAAGTTTGGAAGAAGAGCTGGGATGGTGAGCTTCAGGGATGCAGGAGGAATAAAGGACAACTTCTTTTCTCTCCACCCACAAGACTCCCCCTGCTGTGCAATATACAGTGCTACAGGAATGTTAAGCTTTATTCTACTTTATAGCCAAACTAAGAACCAACACTAAATATTTTTAAATAAAATTTCATTTCTAAATACCATAAACATAACCTAAAATACTTGTCCCAGAAAGTCTGTATTTAAGAATTGCTCCTTTTGAACTAAATTTCCTAGAGTCCTTTGAATAAAAATTATAGTTGATGAAAGGTTTTGAAATTGATGTAAATCCAAGGTGTGGGCACAGATGGTACACCTTTAAGACTTGTACTGTAATACAGGATTTCAAGAAGACACAAAGTACTAAACTGATTGCTCTTCAGGGGAAAAATGACCCTTTTGCCATGCTTGCAGAATCATTAGCAAGCTTGTTGGCCATAAGCAATAAGTACTCCAATATGCAGATACAAAAGACCCTCCACTATGCATTTTTAAGAACTATTTTCCACTCACAGCCATTCTTTTACCTGTTTGCCACCAAGTATCCACAAGAGTGCACTTTCCATCTCCCACCACATTGTAGAACCAGTGCCAAGCTTCATGGTTTATTGGTTCTCCCACTAAAATCAAACATAGTAAAAGAAATAATTGTGGCTTCCTGTAAAAATATTTCATATTTAGTACATGGACAACAAAATCAGTCATATGAAGAATGGTTAAGAGAACTGGACACATTTAGCCTTTTAGAAAGAGGACTGGCAGGCAAGGGGGCAGCACACGTGATAATGCTTAAACTTGTTCACTTGTTCATTAAGGTAAAAGGTAAAGGTTTCCCCACGACATTAAGTCCAGTTGTGTCCAACTCTATGGGGTTATGTTCATCTCCATTTCTTAGCGGAGGGAGTCAGCATCGTCCGCAGACAGTTTCTGTGGTCATGTGACCTGCATGACTAAACGTCAAAGCGCATGGAATGCTGCTACCTTCCTACCAAAGTGATACCTATTTATCTACTCACATTTGCATGCTTTCGAACTGCTAGGTTGGTTAGGAGCTGAGGAAAAGTAATGGGAGCTCACCCCATCGCGCAGATTCAAACTGCCGACCTCTCAATCAACAAGCCTGGCAGCTCAGCGGTTTTCACCACTGTGCTATCGACATCTCTTTTCATTAAGAAGAGGATGGAATTAAAAAGGCTGTTGTTGCTGCCATCTGGTTGTCTCCTACCTATGCTCACTTTATGAATGAGTGCCCACCAAAATCTCCTGCCCTGTTCAGCTTGTGTAAACTCCTTTATGGAATCAATCTCATATTTGAACATATTCTGCCTCCAACTTTCCTAACATTATTGTCTTCTCCATTGAGTCTTACCTCAAGGGTAGGCAACTTGTGACCCTCTGGATGTTATTAGACTGCAACTTTCATTATCCCTCACCACTGGATTTGATCATTAGGGCTGATGGGTGCTTCTGTCCAACATCTGGAGAGCCACAAGTTACCCCCCTCCCCGCATTTAGATGAAAAACTAAGAAAAACTTCTTAAGATATAGAATATGGTTTAGAAAAGCAATAGAGTTGCAGAAAACTTTGAAGATTTTCAAAGAAAGCATGGACTGACTTTGGGCTATAAAGAATGTAAAGAACAAGAGGATTTGATGTCATGAATTGCCAGGATCTGCAGCATGGTTCACTTTGCAAATGCCTGCAGGACCAGGATGAGACCTATAGGTACTTGCAAGGATCAGAGCCTCTGAAATCATGCAGTGCAGCTGGGAGTCCTGGGAGGCTCTATCAAATGCTTCCCTGCATTGCTCAGCTTTGCTACAGCACTGCAGGTCTTTGTGATGGCTGTTCTATGTTCTGGATCCTGCCTCTGGTCTCGCTTTGCTTTCAACTCTGCTTTGACTCCTACCTGACCCAGACAGATTTTGTCTCTGGTCCAACATCACCTTGCCAGGTGCCGGATCCTTGCCTTTGCCTCTAGTCCTGCTATGCCTTGTCAGTATTTGATCCTCGCTTGAGCCTGTCCTTTTCTTTGTCATTGGTTTGGTCACTCTTCATCATGATCAGACCCTGCTCTTGGCTCTGCCATTGCCTTTGGACCTGCCATTCCTTGCTAGGCATTTTACTTTGCCAGTTCCTGGTTTCAGGTCCTTCACCTGTTCCTGATGCTGTATTTGTCTCTGGCTGTGCCTTGACAGTATCTGACCCTTGTTTGTTCCCAACTTCACCTTTGCCTCTAGTGTATTGCTTCATGCCAGAATCTCTGTTCACTTCCATCATCCCTGGTCCTGGGATTCCAGCTGTAGAGATCTGCCATCTACGTCCCAGACCTGACATGAGTTACATGTCTTAAATTAAAATTTCCCAGATTCTCCCAGATTCTGTGAGAGTTTCAGTGGCTTAACCATGAGTGCTCAAGACTGAAAACAGCATCAGTCAAAAAAATTCTTCAGCTATCTGGAAAAAAGGCTGCCCAGTTGTCACCTGGTCAGATAGTTTCTTCCTACTGAGGTTTGCAAAAATGTCCAACCCTTGCAAAATACTAGGGTTTTGTGCTTTGCCAGGTCAACAAAGTATAATTTCCATTCCAGCATCTGCAATACTTTTACCATATCAGGTTCACTTTTAAGTTACCACTGGCACCAATCTGGCCCTGACACTATACAATATTGTCTATATAAGTGGCTTCTTCTACATTATCAGCTTTCGAACCCATCTTTAATTCAACCTACAATTCAGGACCCTACTTAAAACATGTATTGCACAGTTCTCTTTTTCATTGTAGGATGAACAAGTCCAAAGGAGAAAGACAGAATGCTAATCATTGCAAAGCAGAAAAATGTTTCAGCTTGCAGAGTAAAAACTATTTCTAAAAGTGTTGTTGTTATTTTTATTATTATTATTATTATTATTATTAATATTAATATTATTATTATAACATTTCTATGCCACCCCTTGCTGAAACCTCGGGGCGGCTTACAACACGATAAAATACATTGAAATACAGTAGCACATAATAAATTACCATTAAATACAAAAATACAAAAAATACATTGATTTACAAATATAAGATTAAAATTATCAGTATAAATTAAGTAAATAAAAATATAGGAGGAGAAAGAGAAGGAAGAAGAAGTTGCCCTGGCCAGATCATATGTCAAAAGCTCTCCACTATGAAAGGTGCAGGGATCCCTGCTCTTCTTTTGTGTTTAGCTGCCCTCATTCTTTCTCTCCTGTTTTTTCCAAACTGAAGAAAATAATAGTGCCACTGGTACAATACAGCTAAACTCAAGGTATCCGTCATTCATAGTTTCAGACCTATTAGATGAAAACTAATGTGTTTTCTTCATACTCAGCAAAAACACAGCTTGCACTCTTCATAATCACATGTGTTTCTAGTATAGGATTTAGCCCACATTCAGCTGCCTCTGACCAAATACGGAGCTTATCTCAGCCTTTTAGCTATAGTGAGATTGCAGAATTCCTTAAGTCCTGGGGAAATTCTGATTTCACAGAAAGCCAACAAAATTATTGATCTCAGAAGTAATTCTTTCTTTACTTACCTGATCCAAGGGTAGTTAGAGAAGATCTGTCATACTTCTTCACATATTCCTCTCCATACTTTAGCAGCAAACGTAATGCAGTGGGAGCACAATAAAACTGATTAATTTTTAATCTTTCCACAGTTTCCCAATAGCGACCTGCAAAATCCCAAATAGTTTTCTGAAATATGTGATGTGAACTTCATAAACAGTACATCTGTAGAATATTGCAAGGACAGGTAATACTTGTCTATAGTATAGACTACTGTACAAAAATATCCATGGTAAAAAGGACATAAAATGCCTGTCTTTTAAATGGGAAAAAATAGAGGAAACTACTGACAGGATGGAGGAACAAAACCCATGAGAAACCTTCCCCAATCTCCCAGTCTGCCAGTAAGGGCCATATTTCCTCAGGGAGCAGTGGTTTAGCAAGCACATATCAGGACTGGTTGGAGCCAAATCCCACCCACCATGCCCCCAATTCATGCATACAGCCATACAAAAACACAACACATGGCCCATTCATCCATCCATACAACATAATACCATGCATGCACCTCTCTCCTCCCTGCTGTCTCTCTCCATGTTGGGAAAATATGAGTATTGCAAAGAGGAGACTACTTGTTTGAGATCTGCTGTTTCAAAGGCCTCAAGGAGGTGGTTTCTCTTCCCTATCCAGAGTGTCAGGATTTCAGGAATTGGGAGGAATTCTGCAGGCTGGATGGGAAGACTTCACAGGCTGGGGGTTCCTCATCTGACAACAGTTATTTGATGTTTTAGATAGACTAGAAAAGGACTCCTATCTGGAAAGGTCAGTGATTGAACTTCAAGTAAAGGCATGTGCTCAGTCTAAAGACAACAACACTTCCCTAGCAGTGTTTATATATATACATCGGCCATTTCTAATAAGTTACCTGGATCAGGATAGACTGGAGTACTTTCAAACAGAACAGTAGTGCTTCCATTGCAGAGTGGTCCATAGACAACATAACTGTGTCCTGTGATCCAGCCAATATCAGCCACACAACCAAAAATGTCACCTTCTTTGTAGTCAAATACATGCTACAAAAATGAACAGTAACCCAAGTTATTCATTTTTAAAAGTGAATCAAGATGATTTATCATAAAAAATGCCATGCACACTTTTCTGCTTTCTTAGCTACAGATGGTCAGTACAAAAGGAAGCATATAATCCCCTTCATGGAACACTGCCTAGCCATGGCAAAGGGGCTTGTGTAGCACAATGAAGCTATGAGCTATGCCATGCAGGGGCACCCAAGAGAGACAGGTCATAGCAGAGAGCTCTGACAAAAGGTGATCCACTGGAGAAGGAAATGGCAACCCACTCCAGTACCCTTGCCATGAAAACCCCATGGACAATTTTAAAGGGCAAAATGATATGACACCGGAAGATGAGCCCCTCAGGTCTGAAGGTGTCCAATGTGCTACTGGAGAAGAGCAGAAGGCTAGTACTAGTAGCACCAGAAAGAAGTGACTGGGTCAAAACCAAAGAACACTCAGCTTTGGATGAATCTGGTGGTGAAAGTGAAGTTTGATGCTGTAAGGGACTATATTCCATAGGAACCTGGAATGTAAGAATTATGAATCAAGGTAAGCTGGCCATGGTCAAACATGAGATGACAAGATTGAACATCGACGTCTTAGGAATCAGTGAACGAAAATGGACAGGAATGGGTGAATTTAATTCAGATGACCATCAGGTATACTACTGCGGGCAAGAATCCCTCAGAAGAAATGAAGTAGCCTTCATAGTCAATAAAAGAGTAGGAAAAGTAGTACTGGGATACAATCTCCAAAATGGCAGAATGATCTCAGTTTGAATCCAAGGCAAACCATTCAACATCATAGTAGTCCAAGTCTACGTCCCAACCCCTGATGCTGAAGAGACTGAAGTTGACCAGTTCTATGAAGGCCTACAACACCTTCTAGAATTAACACCAAAATATGATGCCCTTCTCATCGTGGGGAATAAAAATGCTAAAGCAGGAAGCCAAAAGATAACCGGAATAACAGGCAAGTTTGGTCTTGAAGTACAAAATGAAGCAGTACAAAGCCTGGCAGAATTTTGTCAGGAGAACACGCTGGTCATAGCAAACACTCTTTTCCAACAACCCAAGACACATGGACATCACCAGATGGTCAACACAGAAAACAGACTGACTATGTGCTCTGCAGCCAAAGATGGAGAAGCTCTATACAGTCAGTAAAAACAAGACCAGGAGCGGACTGTGGCTCAGATCATGAGCTGCTTGTTGCAAAATTTAGGCTTAAATTGAAGAAAGTAGGGAAAAGCACTAGGCCACTCAGGTATGACCAAAATCATATTCTTGATGAATATACAGTAGAGGTGACAAATAGATTTAAGGAATTAGATCTGATAGACAGAGTGCCTGAAGAACTATGGACGGAGGTTCACAACATTGTACAAGAGGTAGCAACTAAAACCATCCCAAAGAAAAAGAAATGCAAGAAAGCAAAATGGCTGTCTGAGGAAGCTCTACAAATAGCTGAGGAAAGAAGGGAAGCGAAAGGCACGGGACTTTGCGACTAGCAACAACAACAACAGGCATCACAGGAGACCTTGGTTTATCAAGGTCTGTTACCCAACCCTCTCTCTGATCTAGACCCTCACCCTATAAGAATGAGGACTGAAGTTCTGAACTATGACCAAATTACAGTTTATGCCTTTTTTGAACCACGGTTCAAACCATGGTTGAGATGATTAACTACAGTTTAGGGTTCAGATATTTATTTATTTAAAACTCTTGTATGCCGTCACCACATGCCTTGGCATCTCGGGATGGCTCACAATATATACAATTAAAACAATAAAATAATCTTTATAAATATCAAATTCCATAAAATTATATAATTCCATTATATAAAAACAAAAAACCCAAAAACAAAAAGAGCAACTGTTAATGATAAAATATTTGTTTTTAAAATAGCAATTAAATAAAAAGGTTTTAACCTGGCACCGAAAAGAATATTAACTTGGCGCCAGGCACCTCTCTCCAGGGAGCGCATTCCATAATCTGGACGCCACTGCAGAAAAGGCCCTGCTCCACGTAGATGTTTTTTTTATCTCCTTTAAAGAGGGCTCCCGGAGCAGAGTCTCTCCTGCAGATCTTAAGGAGTGTGAAGGCATGTAAAGGAAGAGGCATTCCTTCAGGTATCCTGGTCCCAAGCCATTCAGGACTTTCTAGGTTAAAACCTTTAACCTTTCTAGGTTAAAACTTATAACATTGGTTTAGCATTATAGATATGCTAAACTAATGTTAATCAAAAATGGAAGGTAAGTTTGAACTTTTCATGGTTGTACCAGAGAAAGAGAGGAAAACATGTGAATCCAAGGGCCCACTATGGTTATCATGATGTCTACATGTTTAAAACAAATGTTCATCATTCTGTGATGGATAGGGGAAGGACTTTCTTTTCATGTTCAAACATGGACATTTGTAATTCACATCAAAAATGGAAATGTATACATCAGTATTTAATTAAGACTATTCTGTGATCCTGGCTTCGCATCAGTCCTTTTTTTCCTTCTAACTTCATTTGAACAGTAAGCCACAGACCAGCGCAATGGTCATGGAGTTGAAAAGCTACTGAAACACATATGGCAAGGTTGTATCTTAAAACTATACACTTGGTGTGTTAGCATTTGGAGAGGCTGGAATATTAGGAAGAATAAAATTGGATAAACTTTGATTTGCTAAAATACTATTGAATCCAGACAGGGAAAGTTTCAGTGGAATTTGCAAAGCAGGTCATATAATTACATTTTACTACCTAGCCAGAAGCTTAGCTACTGGGAAGAGTATCAAAGCAATATTCCCGTGAATGCACAATTGATAATTTATCAGCTACAGTTATCTTACTGCAACAAGGACATACAAACATACACACCCTATTCCTTAACTGGCACAGCACAAAAAATACATTATATGCCTGCCAGTAGTAGAAGGGCAGTTATCACCTGGGTAATCACTTTGGATAGGAGGAGATAAAACTCTATCCTCAAGAGATGTATTTTAACTCTTTCCTTGGCTATGAGCTGAAATGGCAGAGCAACAAAGTCATTCTTTCCCCAGAGAGATTATTCCCCAAGTACCTGTTGCGTTAAGGCAGCATAAAGCAGATAGCCAGCCTGGGTATGAACAATTCCTTTAGGTTTTCCTGTGCTTCCTGATGTATACAACATAAAAAGCATATCTTCACTGTCCATGATTTCAGGAGGGCAAACTGAATCTACCTTAGCCATTTCCTTAAGAAAAAAAACAGAGGGGGAAAAGGAAATTTAAGTAAGTATTTTTCATGGGTATTTAATGAAATGAAAAGTATACCAATACTGTACATTCCCAGAGTTACTTCTTCAATTGCTTTCCTATAGTGGTGGGTGTTACAGATGCCCCCAAAGCAGCAAATCCCCTACCCAGGCATTCTTCTGGATTCAGCTCCTCTCCTGAGTGCTCAGGTAGAAAAGGTGGCTTCACAAATCCTTTATCACCTTCACCTGATAAGCCAGGTGAATGTCCTTATCTGGCCATTAAGAGCTGGCCAAGTTTTCCCTACAAGTACTCCTGACACCAATTTAATTATTCCACCATCACCCAGATTCTGAAATGGAGCATAAGCCTCACTAAAGTTGGTAATAGGACTTTTGCAAGGTAGGATTGGTGGAGGAAAACAGAAAGAATTACCCTCCCTGGATCAAAGGCAGGATATATGTGTGTAACAAAGATATAGAATCCTCAAACTATGGCCTGGGGTCCAGATCCGGCCCACCATGCCCATTTGGGCCCACCGCGCACATGCCTGCCACCGCTCACCTTGCCCCGCGCACAGGGACGCAGTGGTATGCTCGCCAGGAGAAAACGATCTCCAAGAGAGCAAGCCCCTGCCCCGGGCGCCCGCCCCGCAGCATGCGCCCACCCCCACCTCCCCGCCCCTCACCGGGCGCACATGCCTGCCCCTCACTTCACCTCGCTGCACCCCCGCCCCTGCCTCAGCGCGCCCACACGCACCGCCCCGCGCTTGTCCCTGAACACCGCTGGCACCACCTTTCCGGCCAAAGCCCAGCACCTGCAGCTTTCAACTGGCCCCCTGGTGGAAAAGTTTGAGGACCACTGATCTAAGCAAAGGTAGTTGCATCAGCTCATACTGGTCTACAGGCTTGCTAATCTCAGCTACATAGCTGATGAAGACTAGCATGAGCAATACAGGCTGTGCAGAGTACAGCGCTAGCTTCCTACAGCCAGCACATGTAATTCAGGGAGAAGCTAGCCTTTTCTTTCTGAAACATTTCCTTTTCTTCTAATTCTGTTAGAAGACTACAGTGGGGAGACAGGAAGCTAGCATCTGGGTATGCCCTGGCATAACGCATCCCAAGTTTGAGCTTAGTTTGTGATTTATCATAAAAATATGCTTTAGCTCATTTGCAATGATCCTATAAAGGACATAGCACACAGCCTCATATTATAAGATATAAGCATGCCCTATAGAAATACCTGATTAAAAGAAGTACAGTGAACATCATGAACGTACTTCTTCAAGGAGAATATCACAACTGCCCATGTGGATTTTGTTGCTCGTTCTCTGAGCCACAAAGACACACTTGACACTGGGACAGTTCTTCACTGCTTCATCCACAGTCTTCTTCAGTTCTATGACCTGTCCTCCCCGGAGTCCTTGGTTACAGGTAATGACAGCTTTGCATTCCGCTGGAAAAGAAACCATTTGTGGACTTAGCAGCTCTATGTGCATGACTATTCTGCACTACAATGCAATCAGCCCTTGATATACTGCAGAGCGGCAACTCTTGCCAATGGGGCTGGCAAAAAATAAAAAATACAAGCTTAAGCTTGAAAAGAAGTTCAACTGTTTGGAATGGGAGAAAGTCCAGAAAAGGTAGGAAACAATCCATGAGCTGGACCTCTATGAGCAGAACCAGAACCTTGAGCCAAAATTAGAATGGACCGCTACTCCACAGAGGTTTGTGTCAGGATACATGTGTTAGTCCTTAAGGTACTGACAAAAAGATCTGGCTGTCTTTAAAGTATGTTTGCTCTATAAAGTTCATTTATTTAAAACTTTTCTATACCGTCCCATACTTGGACATCTTGGGACAGTTTACAATGAATAAATTTGTATCATAGTATACCAAACTTAGCTTCTGAGTTAATCATGGGGAAAGCGAACAACATTTTAAAGGATGACTGAGGGCCACTGTAAATGTCATACATTTCCATGAGATTTCTATTGAAAAGCAGTACTTATATAACGAAAAAATAAAATATAAAAATGTCACTTTTGGCAAGATCAGTCCCTGTGGAAAGTACTGTAATGACACGAGCTTGCCATTGTGAAAGCGAATATCTCTGTCTTTTAATATCTCTGTCCCACTACCATGATCCAAAGATTATTAGTTGTTCTTGCATGCCATCAAGTTGTCTCCATGAATGAGAGCTCTCCAAAATGTCCTATCTAACCCTGTCCAGGTCTTTACATACATTACCATTACTTCAGAAATAGGACTATAGTTCATAATGTACTGGTAAGAGAAGGCAGTCAACATACTTTACTATATCAACATCCATTGGGACAGTGTCATTTCACAGAGTCCTAAAGTGCATACAGTTTTGTGCATAAAGAGGTTATTCCATTATATTCTAGATTGGGGAATACTTGGCATGCTTTAAGGACATCCCTACTGTGTGCACAGGGTGCTTCTTAGCTCATTGATCAGAACATGACCCCCTTTTTAATTGTTCCTATGATGATAATGCATAAACAATTTTCTAAGGAGAAAGATTTGCCCTGCAGTGTCAAAACAAGTCAAGCTATGAATGTTTAACAATTTAACCTTTCCCAGCATCTGACAATTACTCACAGTCATTGATCCTCCCTGCTAAAGAGTCTGCGCTGAATCCAGCAAAAACAACTGTGTGGACAGCACCAATTCTGGCACAAGCCAGCATTGCAGCCACTGCCAAGGGAGACACAGGCATATAGATAGCAACTCGGTCCTCTTTTTTAATCCCATTTTTCTTTAAGGTGTTAGCAAGGCGGCAAGTCATTTCCAGAAGCTCCCTGCAGCACAAAAAAGAACTGGCTTTCATTTTTGCAATTCATTACATGAGGAGGGGATAATTTAGAGGATACTTTGGATGTCATAGGTTGAAATATTTGCTCTTTTTCTTTATATAAAGGTGGTGCAGATGAGCCAAAGCCCTGTATAATAGGAGAGCATCTCTTCTGAAGCAGCCTTCAGATCTGGCAAGAGATTCTTTGCAAAACTCTACTGATGAAACTCATTTCCAGATCTCTGATTTGCCTTCTGTAGCCAAAGCAGCTAAGAAGTTATTTCCTTTAGAATGAGAACTAGCATTCCTTCCTGGTGGTAAGGCAAGTTCACATATTACTGCATTAAAATCAAACCCTAACGAGTCAGCATTTTCAGCCCTCTCCTCTGCTATCTTGAATACAAAAGCATTTCATCTGGAAGTAGTTATCTGAGGAAAACCAGCCTACTAGTCTGCAGAACAAAATATGCTCTTCTTGTTGTGTAAAATATACATTAGAGAACTTGGCAAGTGATTAATCTAGGTATGAAAACATCCACATATTGATAACAGCTTATAAAGTAACAAAGGGCAGTTAACATTTTTAGAGATTTGATTGTATTGCTGCCTTTTGGGCAGAAGAATGAAAAATTCTGTGCACCAAAAGCTATGCATTTCTAGAAATGGAAAAAGAAGTCTTGTTTTTGTTATTAGCAAAGCTTTCCCTCTTGGCTGCCAAAGAGCTGTCTTTTCTAATTCATTAAAATTGGGATGGGCGGCCCCTACAGCTTAGTTTCATGTGACCTCAATATCATCCAAGAACAGCTGCATTCTTCCTCTCTAACTGTCTCTTTGAAAGTCACTTCCTCTTTTGCTTTGTGTGTGTACAGACATGAAATAGAGAAGGGATGAGGTGGCACTGAAAGAAAAAGCCATGCAATGTTGCAAATGTTGCAAATGCCACCCCGTATCAGCTCTGCCTTCAATTGACTTTTTCTTTGGGTCACTGACCCTTCAAAGGAAAAAGGTCTACAACTTCTTCTTTAAGAAAAGTGCTTCAATAAAAATAATTGTTTAACGAAAGCCAGAATGATAACACAGTCAGCAAAAACAGTCTTGTGAAAATAGTCAAGTAAATCTGCTGTATGTATTTGTACTCCCTAAAAAAGGGATGTGGTCAACAAAACATTTCTTTAACTTGTAATCAGGCAGCGTGAGGGGAGAAGACAGTTAATGAAAATTGCACACAAAATGCAGCTGGTAAAAGATGTAGTAAGCATTCTACAGAGACTGAACTGCATAGCTGAACTGCATAGCTACCTAACTAATCATTGCAAACTTTCTAATGCCACAGATTAATTTTCAAAGTAAGGCTGTGCTACAGTCCTATTCATTTAGTTTATATTTACCGAATATAATTGAAAGGGATAACTTCCAGTCTTTAGTGCCACTATTTATGGCATCACTACCATTTATGATGATTAATATTGCTGCTTTCTACTCTTCTACCCATTTTACGAGGTTAGATCTTGTGTTGTTAACTTTATTTTTATTGTATTTTACCTTTTATTGGAATCTATCCTTTGAGCACTGCTCACAAAAGTGCTATCTATAAGTGTAACAATTCATACATATATAAAAACATAAGAAGAGCCCTGCTGGGTCCAACTAGTCCAGCTTTCTGGTCACACAGTAGCCAACCTGCTGTCCAAGGAAATCCACAGGCAGAATACTAATGCAATAGCATTCTCCTGTCCAAATTCCTCAACAACATGGATGGATTATTTGGAGGCCTACAGAACATCTTATAATTAATCAATTTTCCTCATGGTTAATACATAATCTTTCTTTACCCTCACATAATCCTAGTGGCAGTTGAAACCCTGGATGGGTGCCTGGAACCAGTATTGGAAGGGATGAAGGCTAACAAGGTGAAGCTTAATCCAAATGATGGAAATACTGTAGGTTGGGAAATTCGCTAAATTGGGTGAAGGTTTAAATCTGACTCTGGATAGGGTGACATGTACATTGTCTGGGACTGCTCCTAGACTCAGTGCTATCTATGGAGGCAGAGGTGGTGTCATCTGACAGGAGTGAATTTTCACCAGCTTAGGTTAGTTTAGCATCTGCAGCCCGATCTAAAGAAAGACGTCCTAACCATAGTGTGGTTGGTCATGTCCAGATTAGATTACTGCACTATGTGGACTGTGGGGCTGCCCTTCAGGTCAATTCAAAAACTGCAGCTGGAACAGAATTTGTGGGAGTTAGGTGCTAAGATCTTATTATTCTTACTCTGTTGATGCTGCCAGCCTGTTACTTTCTGGGCCCAACTGGAGGTGCTGGTTTTGGCATATATACTTCATCCCAAGAGTTCAAAGTTATCAAATATGCTCAAAATCAGCTAGCACCACTTCACACTTGAGAATGGGATTCCATTTCAGTTGGCTGACTTGCACCCGTTCTTGCCAATGCAGCCAAACACTGCCTAGGAATAGAGACTGCAAACCCAGGATCAGATGATAAATCTTTGGATGCTTTTTTATATTACCTTGCAACAAATCACCACCTAAAGTAACACCATATAGAAGGTTTCACTTCCCACCATTCCCTCCAACTTTCCCAGACAACAGATGTAGGAAGTGAGCCTTACTTACTGTCCAAACATGTGGACATAACTAATGAAAGTAAATATACTAATCAGTGTAAACAGGTTCTGACTATTTACCTCTTCCTTTGCTGTCAAGGTAGATTTACTCCTCTAGCACAAACATGCACTCTTATCTTGTGAGTCACCTGCTCTCTGTATAGTGACAATTATATCTAGCTCTTGCAAGGAACAATGGTTATGGACTCTTTAGAACAAACAATGCAATTTTATAGCACTTTGGTTCATTTAAGGACAAAGAACAGAATCCAATGGGGCATTGTGTCCCCACTGGTTCCACTGCACCCTCACCAATGTTGTTCCAGAGGTGAGATCTATTGCCTGCACAATGGAGATGTAACACTTCCAGGAGCAACCAGAAACTAGTGGAAATGCTAGTTTTTCAAATGAGGCAGAACTCAATCCAGAAACCAGTATTCCTGCTCATCTAGAAGTTCCTGTATTATGTGTTGTCAAACCATCCCCAACTTATGGTAACCCTACAAATGCATGGCTTGCAAAATGAGCCATCCTTGACAGCTCTGCTCAGCTGTTGTAAACTCAAGTTTGTGACTTCCTTTATGGAGTTAATCCATCCCATAGATGGTCTTCATCTTCTCCAGCCTTCAATTTTCCCTAGCATGATTTTCTTCTCCAGAGAGTCCTGTCTTGTCATGATGTGTCCAAAATATGACAGTCTCATCACATAAGGCAGTTGCATCATTTTTTTTTCTTCCAGGGAGAGTTCTGGCCTGATTTAATCTAGGCCCTGTTTGTTCATCTTTCTGTCAATCCAGGATATTCAGAAAACCCTCTTCCAGCATCGTGTTTCAAATGCATCAATTCTCTCCCTGTCAGCTCTCTTCACTGCCCATCTTTCACACCTATACATAGTGATCAGGAGTATAGCAGTACGGATGATCTTGGTTCTGGTCTGCAGTGAAACATCCTTACAACTGATCATCTTGTCTAGTTCTTTCACTGCTGCCCTTCCAAGTCTCAGTCTTCTAATTTTTTGGCTGCAGTCTCCATTTTCTATAGGAAACCCTTCTGTTAGTTATTTATATGCCGTCCTATTCGCAAAAAGCCTGACAGCTTACAACATAAAATAAAATATATCATAAATAAATTCCCGACCCACACTGGCTGCAGTTAAAAACATAGAAAAGACAATAAACTTATTAAAATATCACTGGAATAAAAAGGTCTTAACCTGGCACCGAAAAACAAATAACGACAGCGCCAGGCGGACCTCTCTGGGGAGCGCATTCCATAGAAAGGGCGCCACCGCAGAGAAAGCCCTCCTCCTGGTACTTTGCCTCCTAATATCTTTCATGGAGGGTTCCTGGAGGAGGGCCTCTGCTGCCGAACTCAAGGGGCAAGAGGGCAATTATGGAAGCAGGCGTTCCTTCAATTCTAACCTTACAGAAGTTTCTTGCTATGGTAGAGGTTACACATCAGGACAATCTAGTGCTGAAGCGCACCATTTCTTTCAGGTCCATGTTATGATCCACAGAAGCACATTCTTTGTTTTAACCATAAAGCATAAATACCACCCAATTGCCAAAAGGATCGCTGGGTGGTTAACAAAGTTAAAAGAGCATATAATCAGAAAAGAACAGAGATAGCATATAATGATAAAACAGTAAAATGAAACTAATAAAACATCAAAAATAACAATAAGACCACAGCAACTGCAGTCAAGTTGGCACATAGATATAGCAGCAATACATTATAAAATACAGTATTAAAACTAAAGTAAAAATTGGCTGTTGAAATACCTAGAAAATAAAAAGGGTTTTTACTTAGTGCTGAAAAGAAAAAAGGTACCAAGCATACCTGTTTGGGGAACTCATTTCATAAACAGGATGCCACAACAGAGAAGACCCTTCTCCTGGTCACCACCCTCATTATTTCCTTTGGAGAGGGCTCCCTAAGAAGGACCCCAAAATATGATCTGAGGGTCCGGGTAGGTACAAATGGAATGGGACATTCCATTCCTTGCAATCTGATCCTGAGTGCCTCTTCCTTTTCAGAAACCAGCTTGAATGCCAGGCATTTCTTGCTCCCTATAGGATAAAATTCTTTGTTGCAACACCATGAGCACTGTTTTTGCTTACATGGGGAATCACTGCAATTATCCTACAGTTGCTATACTCCTTGGCATCTCCTTTCTTGGGGGCCAGAACATATATTGAATGTTTCCAATCTGTAGGTCTTGTTTTGTTTTCCATATTTGTTGACTTATTCTTGTTAGGATTTGGATCCATTCAGTCTTTGTAGCTTGGAACAGTTGTACTGGTACCCTGTCTACTCTGGGTGCTTCATTCCTTCCAAGAGTTTGCAGAGCAACTTTGACTTCACTTTCCAATATTTCAAGTTCTTCTTCACAGGCTTCCTTTTTGAAAGAGCCTGTCATCATTTAGCTCTTCTGTATACCGGTTTCACCATCTCTTTATTTTATCCATGTCAGATAGTATCTTCCCCTATTGGTCTTTCAGCAAGCAACCACTTCCGGCTGCTTCTCATAGGAAGCATTGCATCTCTGTTGTGTAAGCAGTGGATCCTGCTTGTGCAACAGAGTCGGCAGGAGGGCCTGATTCTTGCACTGCAAAAATCATTAGGAAAAGCTACATACTTGCACAGTGTCCCTTTTGGATACTGCTCAGCATCTATTAACAACTTCTTACAAAGGACACACATTAGAAGCACTTGCAAAAAAAACAAAAACAAAAACCCAAACAAACAAACCCAGTGCCTCAGTCTAAATAAGTGCTTGATATAATTTTCCTTACAATAAAGCACTTGATCTCCATCAAGAATAAATAAAATGTGTTTGGGTATCTTCAGACCATCTCCAGTTTTATATATTTTTATAAAGTATTTCATCTCATTCTTTAGGAAAAAGCAAAGGGTGGGGGAGGCCCTCCTGGGGCAGCTTAGAATGTTACCAGTAGCACTTTTACCTGAAAGTCTTAATCATGTGTATCATTTGCAACACAAGTGAGACACTTCAAACAAAAAAAGCCATCTTTCAGTAATGCATGGGAAAAGGCACTGTGGCAAAGTTGGCACCTTCCAGGTCAAAATTTCCCAGCTTCAGCCCCTGACATTTCCAGGTAGGGAGGAGAACAACTCCTGTCTGAAGCTATGGAGACTACGACCCATCAATTTAGACTACTGATGAATGGTCTGACTGCATAAAGCAGTTTCCAGCATTTGTATAATCTTGCAAACACATAGGGAACTGCTAATGCAAACCAAAACTGTCATCAAGAAACAGAATTTCCAAAGCACAACAATTAGGAATTTCAACAGAAATGAGAACAGCTGTGCTTTCACTCAAATTTGTATGCATGTTTCTATTTAAGAAAAAATATTCACTTGCAGCCAAAACCTTCACAAGCACCTTGCAGGTCAACTAACATTCCAATAATCTGATAGGAGTTTATTATTATTTATCTATCTATTGCAGAACCACTGGCTTGTGTGGCACTTTACACAATACAGGAAAACAGTTTTCTGTCCCAAAGATCTCAACATGTAATAGTTTTAACTTAGATCGGGGTAGCCAAAAGATCCCCCAAAGCCCCTGCCAGCATAGCTAATGGCCAAGAATGCTGGGAACTGAAATCTAAAATATCTGGAAATCCACTTTCTGGTCAGGCCTGTGTTCACAAAATGCTGTGTAAAGCCAATCCAATCCTGTCTTCTGCTTAAGAACCACTTGGCAATCAGAACAGACCCACTCAGAATACATCTCTGCATGGTCTCCCATACACCCTTTCTAGAAGCCTGGCAAACTACCTTCCCATCAACCCACTAGTGAGTCCTAACCCATTACTTGAAAAGTATGTTGCTGAAAGAAATATTTGCCACCTCATTTACTACTATTGCTGAATAGACTGGCCATCACCAGTAAAAGCAAAGGTCTTGATACAAAAGTTCTTCATGCGGGCAGTACAAATGCAGCAAATGCTGCACAAGTCCACATTCTGAGGCAAAATCGGAGAAAGGTGCCATACCTGTAGGTGACTTTTTCTTCACTGCCAGGTTCATCTTTTTCCCAAATCAAAGCTACTCTGTCTGGATGACACTGTGCATGCCGGTCCAAGCAGTTAACTGCGCACAAATTGTAATGAAAACAAAGCATACAGATCATTATTGATCTAATCCATATATCATAATACTTGCGTGAGATTTGAAAGTTCTGGAAGACTTACAATGGTACATGTATACTCTGTTTTCTTAGTCTAGTCTTTTCACTAGTCCTTGTTACCAGCACGCATCTCCCCAGTCAATATAAGCCTGTGTGAACAGCACTACCATTCAGTCATTCATTCCATCTCATTATCCAGATGTTTTCAATATTTCAAAGGCTATTAAGCTAAATGAGGCTGCACTGTATTTCAGTTTAATTCATAAACATACAGTGAAAAATCTACAGGAATTCTCCATTTCTAAATTATCAGGATTGTTACACTATATTAGCTGACAATAATAATTCACTTTTACAGCTTAGCTAAGTACATGGTTATACACAGAACATTGTGCTAATAGACAGCTTTTATACAATTTCAATAAATCAATAAATAGATAAATGGTGATTTACGAAGAAGGTTGACAAGTGCCCACCACAAGATACTTTTAGCCTAAATATAGACACAGGAATGCTATTAAGAAAGAGGAGACAAATGGAGGGAGGAGTAAGCAGAAAAAAATGTAATTATCTAGTTACATGAACTCTGGCTGAGTTACAATGGGATATTGAGATTATTAGGCTGACAATAGGGTTCTATTTATAAAATAAAAGGAGGAAAACTGACCAATTCCTGAATTAGGCTATTTATATTCTTGTAATTTAGAGCAGTGATTTTCAACCTTTTTACATCTGGCAAAAATAGGATTTTTTTTCAGAGACCACTGAGGCAGAAATAAAAAGCATTATATACATAATATAGTATTTTGTGTATTATTTTTAAATATAACACCAAAATGATAATTCTCTAAAAAAACCAGAAACTGAGCAGTAAAAATGCTAATAAATATTGAAATTAAATGTAATCAAATACAACTGAAATTTTTAGAGAGCTATATTTAATTCAAATAAGGCTAATGTGAAATCTGCTGTTGCTTCTTTTCAAGAATGCTTGATAGTCATGGCTGCATTGTTGTTTCAGAAAGATGAAGCACTGCACTGACATCCATTCTGTTTCTCTGTTTGGTTTTTATCAGTGACAGGGCTGAAAAACTCTTTTCACACAAATATGTGGTAGAAAATACGAGTCACAATTTAATAGCTCCGTAACTTAGAGATGGATGTTCTTTTTCCAGTGATATTCAAAATTGCGATAACGATTGCATTTTATACTTGGACACCAGAGTGAAATCAGAGCTCTTTCCCACCTCCTGCTAGGATCAGCTCAGTTCCCCTGGTGAAGGCAGCAGCGTTGACCAAGCGGGAAGAGCAGGCCGGGCAAGAGTTGCTGCCCTTATATGATGCTCTGAGAATACCACTGCTGCTATCACTCCCGCCCCTGCTGTGTGAGTGGTCTTGTGCCACCTGAGCAGCAGGAATGCTTGGATGGCCAGGCTGTGCAAGACCAGAACCAGGCAGCTTGGGGCCAGGGGAACTGAGCTGATCTTAGCAGGAAAAGAGCCGGCATGGATCAGTTCCCCTGGCGATGGCAGCAGCACCGAGCAAGCAGGAAGAGCAGGCTGAGCTCGACTTGTTGCTCTTATATGACACCCCCCTGCAGCTCCTTCTCAGGCTTCTTTGTGCAGACCGGCACTGGTCCACAGACTGGCGGTTGAAAACCACTGGTTTAGAGAGACTACAGTTCTAAACTCAGCAAAGCCAAATTATGTGATCAGTATACAAGAAAAAAGTATATGCACAGGAGAGCCAGTATGGTCTAGTAGTGGTTAGGTACTAGGCTGGGACCTGAGAGATCCAGGTTCTAGTCCCAAATCAGCCATGAAGCTCATTTGGGTAACTTTGGATTAATCACTGCCTTTTAGCCAGGCCTAGCTCACATGATTGTTGTGAGGCTAAAATGGTGAGGAAGAGGGTCGTGTAAGCCACCTTGGGTTCCTTGCAAGAGGAAAAATGTGGAAAAGAAATGTAATAATAAACATTTAACTACTTTATTCCATGAGAAAAATGTAAGATCTGGCAAAGACCTGGATAGTTGAGACAGATGTATGCAAACAGTGCTGAAAGGCCAAGAAACTCAAGGCCATTTTGATATTGTACGCCCAACACACGCACACTCACATGCGCGCACACATGAAAAATATGAGGGATAGGAATGGGCTTAACCTTTGTGGTGCCCTGTGTTCTTACTGCCATGTCTTTTATGATACCAATGCTTCTGTTTTATTGTATTATAATATGCCCATGTAGTACACCAGCTTGGAATTTGATTTAGTGAAAGTCATAATATTTTATGTATTTATAAGTCCTGCCCCCTAAGGGTATGAGGGCCACTCTGAGTTTGCCAGAACTTGCCCTCCTGATTTCCAGCTTCTCTTCCCTTCCATAAAAGCAGCACACAACTAAGCTTCATACTGTGTGTATGCTTTAGACCACATAATACATTTTTCCATAAAGAGAAGACGATTTTGCAATCATAAAACTTAGGTTCTGAAAACAAATATTGCAACATTGAAGTTCTTCAGCCAATTCTTTTGCTGCTTCTGTTGTTTGTATATACACACACATACAAAAGAAATTCTGTTTTTTGCAAGGATATAGTTGGCTGCTGTTTACTATACAACATAATGAATGCAAGGAAAAACTATGCAATACTTAATTCATATATATATATATATATATATATATATATAATAGTGAGATACAGCCTTTGAGTCCAGAATCTTTTCCTTGAGAAGAAAAGCTAACAGTGCAATCCTATGCAAATTTTCTCAAAAGTAAGTTGCTCTGAGTTTAGTGGGTAACAGCACTTAGGATTGCAACCTACATTCTTCAGTAATCAATAACAACACTGGATTTCTTTATGTTTCAGCCCCATTCAATGTACCTTTAAACTCTCCCTAGGAACATGACAATGGTAGCTTAGCAGGGTTATTAAGGCTATAAATAATCAATGGACAATGGAAGGCCCAGGACCACAGTGTGTGCGTGCACACACAAATTTCCCTAAGTTAATATAAATATGTCCTGAGAACTTGTGTGTATGTCTTTAAAGAACCCTGTCTTCCAAGGCCACCTCTATTTGTAAAAAGAAATGCATGGGCAGAGAAGAAGAGGGCAAGTGATTTCAGAAAATAACTCAGGCAGAAAGATTCAAAGATGGGGGAACAAGAGGTAAAGCATACACGAGCAAAAAGCCAGCTAATCCAGGGGATCAGATGCCACAAAGACCATCGGGCCTCTTTACCTTTATTTCAGCAAGTGTCAATAGACAGCATAGCACTGGTGCAGACAGCCTTCCAAAGATTTGGGGCTCCAGTTCTATTAGGCTGCACTTCAATGCTGCTGCTGCTGCTGCTGCAATGCAATAACCACTAACTGGAAGTAATCCTCAGTAACATTAATAGGACTTATTCCTATGCAAATCTCCTCTGTAACTTTTTCATTCCAGAATATTTAACTTATAAATGGCTTCCATGGACGTAAATATTTTTGTACACTGGAATTCCTACTTTTACACATGACTCCTTTTCAGCTAAATTGCATCTTTTTTATATTTTTATGCATGATTCCCTTTTGCCAAAATTGCACCTTTTAAATATATTTTTCTACTCCACCTTTGACAAAGTGAACTCCAAGACAGCTGTATTTAAAGATATGAATATCTGTATAAGAACATACGTAAGGAAAAGTCATACAGATTACTTTTTATTTATTCTCTTTAGCTTTTAATTGGTTTGCAATTTGCTGTTGTCTATAAAAGATGTAACAGAGTAACTGAATCTTCTTCTAAGCAAGCCTGCCTACACCTGTGATACATGTGTAATGAACATGAAATAGTAACATTGTGCTATTTATAAACTTCGATATAATATGGTAGGCAATATTCAGGGGATCAGAGGCCACAGAGATGGAAGTTGGCAATATTCATTTTCAGCTATTCATTTGGGAGTTGTTAAGAATTACACTGAACATAAATCAATGATCAAACAAATGGTTCAATAATCAAACAAATGGTTTTTGATACAGTTACTTTATTCATAGCAAGCCATCTATGTACAACAATTTAGCACACCTGTTGTATAAAACATAAAATTATAAAAAGCTGCCAATGAAGAAAATTATGTGCCATTTCTGCAGAATGCCACCTATTATTTCAGTGTGGTTTTGTTCATCATAAGCTAATTACAGTTATGAAACCTGAGTGCTGTGGCATCACAAGTAATTGCAGAATATACAAATCCAGATCTAGAAAGTGTTAAAGCTCATCAGCTCTTTATCTTTAGTTTTATGAAGCTGTGTTCCACCTCTATTGATACCACAATTTTATTTGCTGTATATGAACTTGAAGGATTTTGACATAACCTTCTCCAAGTTTCTTATTGCAAGTGCATAGTGGGGCTGGGGCTTCATATTGGATGGCTAGTTGGCAATTTTTTCCAATTATTATTTGTCCAATGATAAATAGCCTTTACAATACAAAGAAGCACCAAATAATAAAGAGAATTTAATATCCCATGAGAACCCATCAGAAACCAACAATTTTACCACTGCACCACCCTGGATCATTTCCTGTGCATTTTTTAAAAAAGAAAAACAACAGTACTTTTACTGTACGGTCAATTTCATCCTTCCCTAGCCTTTCAGGCTAAGAAGCAGACTCTACTGTGTGTGTGTGTGGGGGGGGTGGACTTGGGCCATTCCATTCCTGCCTATTTCATCCTCCTCCTTTCTACTCCCACTCCTTTTCCCTTGTATGTTGGGTCTTTTTAGACTGCAACCTGCAGGCAGTAACTGTTTTACAGTCTATATGCAAGTCATTCCAGGAGACCTTGTGACTGCACACAAAATAAAAATCCATAAGCCAAAAATACAGTAGCATAACAACTGGGACTAAATAGAGAGGGCTGAACTAAGTTGCTGGAACCATCAGCATCAACTGTAACTTTCCATTTCTCAGATGTGACACAAAGTTGTATGTCCTACAGGAAGGGCACTTATGAGCTTCATCTTTCCCTGCAAAGAACAGGGCATTTGTTTTGTTTAATCAGATACTTAATGTTTATGCAAAGCAAACTTCCAACAACAGTTTTATTTACCAGGTATGTTGTAATGGTGGAAGATGCAGCTGTGTCATAAAACAACCTGTTTTTACCAATTGGATCACCAATTAAATTAAGCCTATCCGATATATGGCTTGCAAATGGGAAACAAAAGATCAGCTCCAACAAGAGAATATGGTCAAATCAAGATTAAAATGAGTTATTACAGCAGAGCAGACAGAAGAATCAAGAGTTTGCAAGCTGCATGTGGAAGAGTGAAGAAGAGGTACTCAAGGACCACATGGGGTGACCCATCATTAAACAACCATGTGGAAAACAGAACAGTAAATTAAAGGGCATTCCATGGGTAGAAAAGAGTTTATGCAAAGCATAGTGCACAATAGGAAAGAAAGCAAGTGAACTGTGAAAAGACTTATGCCATCCTTTCCCAAATTAGTATCCTCTGGATGTGTTGGCATACAGTTCTCAGCATCTCAACAACGACCCTGCTTGCTGTGGATGATGGGGGTTCCACTCCAACACATCCCTGAGGGCACACTGGGGAAGTCCGACCTGTGCTTCATTTTGCTCAGTACTGTCTATTCCGACAGCAAGCAGCTCTTCAAGGTCGCAGCTTAAGTCCTTCCTGGTTGCATGACCCTTTTAAATGGAAATGTATGCTTTGATTGAACCCAGGACCTTCAAGGAACACAAATGTTTTAAATAAATAAATAAGGTCTGACTGAACCCAGGACAAATCGGAAGAGCCCAGTTTGTGGTCTCTGGATCATAGCCCCATAATCTACTACTATTCTAAGCCTGAAGAAGCTGCTTTCCACACGGGGCTACGCCTGACATTCCATGGAAGCAAGCATGGACCTGATGAAATGATGAGGTCACCGAGCATGTTTAGAATGTCTTGTCCCCTACACACGCTCATTCTCTCCCTCCCCTTCACTAAGTAGCAGCCACATGGTCCCTGCACGGAGGCGGCAGGGCTTCCAGATCAGGCGGGTGCGACTTCCAGGCACTGAAGAGGACATCGATACCTTTCACTTTCGAAATCCGACAGCTAGTGAAGTCTTACTGTTAGCATTCACACAAACACGCGCGCTCTGCCTGCACGTGTGAACGGGAGAAGCAGGACTAGGACTCGTTGCCGCCCCCCTCCGCGGCCGCGGAAAGGCGCTCCTTACCCGCCACATTTAAGCGGCCGCCTAAAAACCAGCGGATGTGGCCTCGGGCGAAATCCCACTCGCAGTCCGTGTGGTGCGCGGCGTCCCACAGCAGCGCCTCCCGGGCCAGCCGCCCCCAGAAAGGGCCGGGCTCCCTGGCCGCCCGCTCGTACAGCTCCCGGTAGTCCCCCCTCAGGAAGGGGGCGCTGCTGCTCCAGCGGATGGAAGCGGCACCGCCCCAGGGGGCGCTCGGCCTGCTCGGGCGCCACAGCCGGCGGGGCTGCCCGCAGAGAGCGCTCAGGAGGTGCCTGCCGGCGGGGGCCGCTGCGGTGGCTGCTGCCATGGGGCAGCTGCCGAAGACTACGGGCGGTGAAGGAGAAGGTAGCGGTGGTGAGTGAGACACTGGCAGGCCCGCCTGGCTCCGCCTCTGCTCGAGCAGGGTCACGAAGACGACGTTTCCTGAAAACGGCCGGCCTGAGGGAGGCTCTGGGGCGGCTCCCCCAAGCTCCGCAGCTTCCTCTGCACCGCGCCTTTCCCGCCCTTTTCTCCTCCCCACTGTTGCAAGATCCTTTAATGTTCATTAAAGTGCCCACGAACAGCACAAGCCTGGCCGTGTTTACCCAGAAGGGACGTCCCGAGGCGTCCAATCTCCAGTCCTGAGGCGGGCCGCTCCGTGCAATTGCAGCTATGCGAGGAACTTCGATGGGCACCGACAGAAAGATCATTTCTAGGCTTAACTGCCATGCAAGGGCGGGATTTGGTAGGGGAAGGTGTAGGGCTTGCAGCGAATTATGTATTCATTTCTTTACGAGATGTATATGCCGCTGCATATTCCAGTATTATTAATACATTACCTTTATACCCCTCCTTTCCTCTTGCAAGGAACCCAGGGCAACTTATACTGTTCTCACCGTTTTACACTCACAACAACAACCCTGTGAGGTAGGTTCGGCTGAGAGTGGGTGGCTTGCCCAGTAACCCAGTGAGCTTCATGGTAAAGTGGAGACCAGAACCCAAATCTCCAGAGTCACAGTCCGGCACTTTTAGTCCCTCTCCAGAGAGTATGGACTATTGGGCAGTATAAAAATGAAAAAGAGTAATAAGTAGCCAATATAGTTAGAAGTTATTGATAGCTTTCTTCTACATGGATTTGGCTAACCTTTTTTTAAAAGCCACCCTTGTTGGTAATCACATCTTTGTTAGCAAACCCCATAGTTTAACTATTATGTGTGAAGAAGTAATTACCTGTTCTGAATTTCTCACCATTCAGCTTCATAGAATGACCTCAGCTTTTAGTATTATGAGAAAGGGAGGAAGACATACCACAATCCGCTTTCTCTGCACCTTGCATAATTTGATACATCTCTGTCATGCTCACCATTTTTTCTAAGCCAAAAAGTCCCAGATTTGCAACCAGTCCATAGGGGAGCTGCTCTGGCATCCAGTCATTTTAGTTCCCAGCCCCTGCATTGGTCAGTTTCTCCTTTGCAGTTGAGCAAATCCACTTTTCATGAAGAATGTCTAGGCTGTGTGTTACAGAATTCCAGGAATATTAAACATTTTAACTTGGAAGTTCTCTGTCTGGTTTTACAGATCAGGCTTACAGTTCATGGTAAAGCCATGAAGAGTGTTTTATGACTGATTTTGCAAGTAATTGTTCCCAAACATTGAGAATGGGATGGAGTACTTTTAACATTATTACTGTAAAGATTTCTAAATGCCTATGAAGATATTACTTTGGAGATTTGCTTTTCTCCTTACAGTTATGGCTCATCTAGAACTGTGGTTTCATTGCTAATCACTTAGGTATATATGCTTAACCTAGTAAAAGAGTCCGGATTTCTGTCCTGCTGAAAGCTAATTGTTTAAGGCAGAAAACCTGTTTGTTATAACTGTATACTGGTTGTTAGGAGTCGCACAAGAAATAGTTCTGTAATAAACTCAGCTGATAACAATTAGCTTTGCTTCTGAAGTGAAAAGTATGAGTTTACAGTTCTCTGCTTAATAGCGCAAATCTATTCATGTCTATTCAGCAGTGATAGCATGAGAAGGGTCTAAGACTCACTGGAAAAGATATGATTCTAGGGGAAGTTGAAGGCAGAAGAAGACATGCAGATAGGAGATTGACTGGTCCTATAAAGGAAGCCACATCCTTAAGTTTACAAGAGCTGAGCAGGGCTGTAAAGGACAGGGCATTCAGTCACAGACTCACCATAAGTCAGAGATGACAGCACATAACAGCAACAAATTTAGAAGTGAATCCCATTTAGTTCAATGGGTTTTACTGAATTTCACTAGGCACTTCAAAGATTTGGGGTTCATAGGATGCATTAAGAAATTAAGCTTAGAAAAAACTTTCCATTGGCATAAATACTTTTTTTTCTTTCTAATTTTCAATTGCCATAGATGATCTTGGGAAGTTGCAACATGTGGATTGGAGAGACCTTGTTCTTTGCCCTATAGTTGCAGTCTTGATTGCATGGCAATTAATCTAAGGAAATATGGTTCCATTGACACCAATAAATACTCAACCTTTGGGGAACAGACTATCCTTGAGATATCCTGGTCAGATCCTATTTAATGTTGTAAAGGTTAATACCATCACTTTCAGTTGGGCTCAGAATACTGAGAACTGATGCAAAATCAGGGTTATTAGTTTTAATAAAATTAGTTATTAAGTTATTTGCCCACCAACCCCTGGACAGCCATATTTTCCACTGATTAAAATTTCTGAATATTTTCAAAGGCATCCCAGTATAAAGTGCAAAGATTCTTATTTAAAGATTTAAGAAATGCCTTTCAGGATTTAGACCATGGCTTTGCTGGAAACTGAACAATGATTGGTACGCTGTGGTCTGTCTGTAGGTCTGTTACTTCTTCAGCATCTATTCTTGTAAAAAGTTTTGCTGTGGTTCTAGCATGAAAAATAATTGAACATTGCCCTCTTCTGTTCATCACATGGATGACATTTAGAAGTGCCGCTGACTACAGAATTTTTGCTACAAATTGAAAGGAAAGGAGCAGTGATGATTCACTGTAGTATGCATAAGCATACTCATGTCAACAGAAACAGGATGGTGACAGAGTTGGTAACAGGAATAAGTAAAATCATAGGTATACTGAAAGATAAATCAACAAGAGAGAGAAAATGAACCTCAATTGCTTGTATTTTAAACGTGATGCATACAATGAATCCAACATAGCACATGGAATGATGAGGCCTATTGAAGCAGAGCAGTTACAACATGAGTCTTCTTAGGCTAATCACTGTCAGATTTGTGCATCTCGATCCCACACTGTTTGCTCTGTCTTCCTGGCAAAACTGCTCCAGTACAGCAAGATTGGATAGGGACTCAGTGAACAGCAACTTTCAAATCTTGCCACATTTTCTCAAAGTCTGGGCTTTCATTGGGCCATTCTAAGACATTCAGGTTCTTTTAAACCATTCAAGCGTTAGTTTGGTTGTGTGCTTAGGGTCACTGTCTTGCAGGAAGGTAACTTCTGGCCCAGGCCCCTTGCAGAGTGAAACAAGTTTCTTCTAGAATTGCCCTAAGTTGCTGTCACAATGAGGGATCCCCATTAAAAGGAAGTTTTGGCAGTGCATTGAGGGATTTTTCATTGAGACATATTCAGTTATATGTCCCAGTCAGAAAAAAGAAAGCTGCTTCAAGGAAAGTTGGAAGGAATTGTCAGTGGCTGTCAAAACAGGAATCACAAAAGCTAGCTATCAAACTGGACTGTAGAATCTGGGGAAACAGGTAAAAGGACAAAAATCTATGATGACCCAAATCAAGGAGACAAGTTTGCCCTGCCATAAAGTGCCTTGCAATATCCAGAGGAAGGGGTGAACAACCTATAGTGGCTGAATTTGCACTTACCCCTTAACCAAGCCATCCCAATGCATATGGGCATCTACCTGGGAGAACTTTCCAGCTGGGTGTTGGAAAAGTATTTGCTGTGAACCTGTGGCAGGGCGGAAGGGAATGCTGGGGCCTGTTGGCAGTCCTGAAGAATGTCAGGGATACGATAGCAGAGGCACAGGTGGGCGTGCAGTGGGAGATGTGCTTCTCAGGACTCTTGCCCTGTTGGTGGCATCCTGCACACTGCCCATGCGGTCCTCACATGCTGGGCAGCGTTCCCAAGAGGAAACCAGAGTTTATGCCCATAAAAGACAGCATGCAAAAAGAAAAGGAGTGCAAAATAGCCCATTAAGCACTGCTGGCTGTAAGACAGGAAGCACTAGGCAGATCTAGACGTTGACAAGGGCAGGCATGAGTGCTGTCGTCTGCTGCTGCTGCTGCTGCTCTTTTCACAGAGCTTTAAGGAAGAAACATGGAAAGCATGTGGAAGCATGACAAACCATGTTGGAATGTGGAAGCCATAGATCAGACTAATGTTTCTCTGTGTGGTTCCATGGGGACCATTCTTACCATGCCTCACTTTGGTTGCTGGGTTCAGACATAATGACAAGCCATGCCACCAGTTACCACCATGGGTGGTTGTTATATCTGAACCAGCCAGTGAGTCAAATGGCCTTGCAAGCACAGCATGGACTGTTTGCACGACAAGCAACTCACTGTGGTTTATTGTAGGTTATTGTGAATTGTAAAAACCCTGTATTTCCAGCACCAGAGTATTTATTTTATTTTATTTATAAAAACATTTCTATGCCGCCCTTGCCGAAGCCTCGGGGCAGCTCACAGCATAAAATAAGGGTAAGACTGCCCAGACATTTTGGAGGACATGTATGTTTGTTGTATATTTGGTTTGGTGCTTTGTATAATTGGTTATTATTTGAAGTTTTCATTATATTCTTTCTATATTTATAAATTTTGTTCACATTTGTTTTGTTTGGAAGACAGTTAAGAAATATTTAAAAATAAATCACAAATACCCTGAAACTCTACTTTCTAGTTCGATTGGTTTCTTCATTGTTGCCTGCACTTAGTAGTAATAACCAGAAGGCAAGGTCAACTCTTTCATCCAATTCAGGGATATCTTAATAGAATTTGGTTATTTGTTTGTTTGATACCCTGCTTTTTTCTTACAAAAAACTCCAAGCATCTTACACCATTATCCTCCTCCTGCTCTCAGTCTTATCTGAACAACAACAACCCTGTGAAGTAGGTTGAGATGAGAGTCTGTGACTGGCCCAAAGTCACCCAATTGGTTCCATTGCTGATGGATCACCCGTTATCAAAAAACTTCCCACATTCTCTCCCATGTGCAATAACCCGTATCATCCACTGGGGGGCAACCCGTTAAAACATCATATTTGCTTAATCTTCCAACCTAAAACTCCCATCAAGCAGCAATATGGGATAAACCTAGCTAAAATGCCAGTTAAAAATTAATGTTGCTAAGCCTTTTGGTCATGGCGGAATACAGATGTTTCTGCAACACAAACAGAAAATGTGAATTTGAGTTCTGGAGTTGCTCCATATTAAAAAGGGGAAAGTCTCCTTATGAAAGCCAAAGAAATATATAATCCAGTCAATCTTGTAACTTTCCCTCCCCCAAATTAAAATCTAATCTCATTTTTTTCATATTTCATTTTTTTTAATGTC